CAGAAGTCGCCTTTGTTCGGAGTTGCGTGTTTTTGTTGATGTAAGATGCCATCCAAGGGGCTTGTTTAAATTGCAGCACTCGATGGACCTTTTTAAGTTTCAAGCCGAGTTTGAGATACAACTGCAACGTGACGTATTGCAAAACATATTTTTGTTTAGGATTAAGGGTAGACGTTAATTTTTGCACGTTGCTACTAGGTTCGGTATCCAATAACTCGTTTTGATAATCAGACATCCATTCTTTTGGTATGACGATATTTTCTGGCGCTAGGGGATAATCGTTGTGCAGGTCGTGGAGATTGTCCGGGTAATCGAGGTCTACTTCAAAGCAGTAACCGGTGTTTGATGTTTTCCTGAGAGATAATGTCTTGGACTCAGTAAACGTTTTTGTAGACGCCCATTTAAAGTCTTTGTACGGCAGGTATTGACTCATGGCCCAGCCGTACAGATTGTTTGCATCGAGGTAGGTGATGTAACTCGACGGCTCGTTTGGATTATGGTCGGGTAGGTATTTGTTGTTGGCTTTGTGGTATCTCATACCACCCACGCTCGAGATACCACCTCTTTTTGCCTTTTCAAAAAATAAATTTTTGTCTATGTCTTGCAATAATTCGAGTTTAACTTCCGAGTGTTTTAACAAGGCATACCACGACAATCCTGGTGCTGTGTAGTAATTAGCCGGATCTAACGCGTAGTTTGTAATGCACGTTTGCCTAAAGTTTTCAAATACGCATGCCAGTAATAACGTATCGGTAGTGACGTACAAATCGTGATATTCCCCCATGTTTTTAACTTTAAACTCATTCCACGTCAGTTTAGCTCTGTCGTAGTCCTCTCGCCATATATTTTTGTCTTTTAGGCTGCTGTAAAATTGTTTGATGGGGGGTAGGCTGGTCTCTTGAAATCTGTCAAACGAGTCCATGTATTCATATGGAAAAACTCCTTTTTGTAACAACAAGTCGATGTTTTGACGATTAAAATGTTCTCTGAGTAGTTTAAACGACTCTCTTGGACAAGCTTTAGATAATCTATCCAACGAAGACGCCATAAAATTAAACGAGTCTATAAATCGCATATTTCCGATCGAAAACGAAATATACTTTTCCGAATTTCTAGCGATAACTTGTATTTCCTTTTCGTCATCGTACTCTGAAATACTCTGCATGATCAAGTGAGCGTCGTAATTTTGCAGATTGTGAAAGACGACCGGTATGGGGGTAAAACCTGGTTTAACTTGTAATTTTAGATTGCAGAAGGCATGCGCGGCACCTCTATATCTACCCGTGACGTGGCAGTGATCTCTCACCTTTCTAAATTTGTTGATTTTCTTTTTGCATTCGAGACATTTAGACTCGATAAATCTCGATAAAGACTCGATTTTCGTACTGATGTTCTTTTATTTGTTTTGCTGTTTTTGGTTTTTTGGGTTTCTGGCACTGACAGTTGCTCGAGTAATTGAGATAAATTGGTTTTTCGCAAATCCAACATGTGTTTGTCTTTTCATGATGTTTTTTATTCGCTCGTTAAATTTCATGGGTTGGGGTTTTTTAAATATGAAATTTATGTCGCTTTGTATTTTTAACATTTTATTTACAAACTTTGATGCAGCATCTTTACCTCTATAAGTCTCTTGATACGCATTGGTGCCGTCGCATCTAACTACTACCAACGAGTAACCGCTAGCTTTGTGAATGTTTGTCTTTTGCGTGTTGTTCTTTTTATCGTCCGAGTTTTTTTCTAATATCAATTCAAAGTTGGCGTAAACTACAAACGGTGCTTTTTGTTTAAACCTGTATTTTTTAAATTCTAATATTGGCACATCGTTTTCGTCAACTATGCACTCGTTATTTACATATTTTCGCTTAGCGGTAGGAAATACAATCTTTGACGGATGTGTATCTATGCCATTACCATCGGTCATGTGTCTATCTAATTTTACTTGCGTTCTATAATGACACAGGCACCTTCGACAAAAAATATTTCTTACTTTTATGTTTTGTAACGTTGTAAATCAATCTCGAAAAATTATTTATCCAGCAATAGTGATGCTTGTCGCCCTCAGAAAACAAAAACAGATCAATAGGTCGTGACTCTGCTTTGTAGTTTTTAGACACATATAACGGATATATTTCCCCCTCATAACCGTATACGTTTATCGTTAAATTATTTTGTCTTTCTATCTTTGGTATCTGGTCGATCGGTGTTTGAAAGTCTACGCCTTTAAATTTGAGTCCGTCGTCTTTGGTGTATACAACAGGTTCTTCTTTATGAATTTTATATTTAGGATCGTTTTTTATGTTATTTTTTACTTTATCCGTATACAACCCAAGAGCAGCTCTCAAACACCATCTCAAACACTCGTCGTCTTTGTTTTTAATGTTAATCATCGCCGTTTTCTGTTTGATACATTTTGGTAGGTCAATATAAGAACTACCCCTCACGGGGTTAAACCTGTTGATGTTGATATACAACGCCATTATCTTTTTTAAAACCCAACCCGATCCTTGATTCGTATACCTTTCATCCTTTCTAAATATCTGGTCGATGTCTTCTTTTAAAACCTGTTTTATTTGACTTTGATTTAAAACGACTCTCTGATCGGTAAAATGTGTAGCTTCGATCGTTTCGATCGTACCATCCAGTTTTTTTTTTTTCGTATTTTATTTTGATTGTGAGCTCTACTTTTAAACCTCTTATCTCTCTCAATTCTGACTTGATTTTACTTACAATTTGATCTTTGTGCGTATCAAAAAACTTGACTAAATCGTCGTTAAAAAGTCTAGGAATCAGTTCCCAGTTTCTAAAGTTGTTTCTAAATCTCCTCGTGGCTCTAAACTCAGCCTCTTGAAAATCCTCGGGTTGCCTAGAGTTTTGAATCGCCGAGAGTAAATCTTTTTTCAAACATCGACCTTTATAACCCGACGGGTTATTTTCCAGATCGTAATCATCTACAATCTGTTTGAGCTCATGAAGCGTCTTTTTCCTCAAGTTTTTAAATTGAGCTTCATAGTTTTTTATCCCGTTGATGTAGACTTTACGCGTAAGAGCAACATTTTGATTTTCTGGTATATTATATCGCTGGACGTAATCGCGCAGCGTCGCTTTATTCCATCTAGAGAATCCCTTAACGATTGGCCTAATCGTATCCATCATTTATATATATCAATATAATTTTTTTTTTAAATTTTTTTAAGAGGTCAGACTTTTAGATTTATATTAAAGCAATCAGACTCACCGGCTGGTGAGAGAGAGATATTGACATTTTGGCGCTCCATACCTTTTTGCTCATTTTATACTATCCATACCATCAGCGCTCCATACCTGACACGGTCATAGCCTTCACCTGCCACATCACACAAAAGACTTGCGACCCCGTTCTAGTTCATGACTGTGTTCTGTTAAAAAAATATGCAAGGTAACCGACCTTGACTGCCTATTGTACTCGGGTTGTATAGCTTATAGAAAAGTTATACATGTCACTACTAAATTTAGCTTTGGAAATTTCCAGAAATTCTTTCGCAATTCAGTATTTCCGTGTCATTTCAACATGATATGTCGATAGGTACGGATGTCAACGCTCAACCTGCAGTCACCAGCCAAAAGGTAAATTGTTTTTAACATTAAAGTCTGGCAATAATGTAGGTTTTCATATTGATTTTGTTTTCTATAAAAACCTATACTACACAATCACTAAAAGTCTAGCCATCCATTAGTGTATGTGATGTTTCTGATCAAACATTGAGTGTAAATGCTTATTTTTTTCTAAATGTTTCACATGATGACCACCCATCGCAACCTGTGAAAAAGAGGTTAGGCGGCTTTATAACTTTGCGTCGGGTTTATCGCCCGAGCAAGATTTTTTCAAAGTACCGCTAATACCATTTTTTAAGTGTAAAAACCTTGATATATTTCTTAAAAAGTTACTTAAAAGTGTACCATTTTGATGTATCTCTATGATATAAAAATTGGCCAAAACGCTTACTCACTAAATATAATTATGATGTCATAAGGGTATCGGTAGTTCTCCTCTTAATATAACGATGATGTCATAGGGGTACTAAGAGTTCTCCTCGTCTTAATATAACGATGATGTCATAAGCACACTGCAATGTGCTTTTCTATATGTTTTGTACAATTTGTAGATTTTAAAAATATTTTCTCTGTTTATAGATTATATGTTGTTAAAGTAACATGTTTTTAATAAATTTCAAACTTTGATTTGTAAACCTAAGAAAACGTTATTTGTTTATTTATTTATAAGTGACTGTAGACTCGCGCACCAGTCGCTGTGAGTCTGTGTTGAGATCTCCAAGAGGGTGACTGTAAATGGTAGCAGACCAGTAAATAAACTTCCATAGACCCCAATGGTAAATGCTCCCACTTCAAAAATTCGGGAAAAATACTCACTACTCTCCAAGGTGTTCGAGACACACATCAAATTAAAGCTTATTTCATCATCTTTCATTTTCTTTTCAATTTTTGGGGGGTCAACTGATGACTTTTAGGAGAAATTTCCATCTGAAGATGATCACCCCTGAAAATAGTCCTAAGGCCCATCGCCATTTTTTACACAGAACTGCAAGCTCCCAGTCCTGTGCACGGCTTCCACCCATATTTTTTACAAACCCTCAAGTTCATGGCCCACAGCATGCTCAAATACCGAAGATTTTGAGGGCATGCAAATCGTGATTTGGCAATTTCAGACCGATTTACTGGTCTGCACCCAAATATGAAGAGCCTGGCCTGATTTCGAGACTGAGATGTTGGGAGGGGGATATATTTGGGGTAGGGAGATTTTGGGGGAGGGGGAATCATTGGGAGGGGGCGGGGGCTAAGTGGGGAGGGGGTTGGGAGGGGGAGGGGAATCATTGGGGAGGGGTAAAGTCTGGTACCTGCCCCCCACTCCTATGGCAGAGTCTGGTACCCTCCACTTATACCTACTCGTTACAAAGTAGATTGTGTATCATTAATCATTTGTTGTCTTTTCTTTTGATTGGTAGATATTGATTGTGCAGTCTTTTGGGTTGTTGATGGGTACGTGTCCAGAGCCAGATGCATGTATCTGTTGCATTAAAGGTAGGGTAGATCATTTGTCCTTTTGCATTTTATTTTGAACAACAAAAGTACTCAAATTCTAAAGACGGGTGTTTAACAACTACATGTATCCTGATGAAGCTCTGTGAATACTACATATTCCAAGAAAAGAAAATTCTAGGATCTCAGTTTCAATTCAAAAGTGGCCACGTCATGTTTTGAATTGCGCCCAAAATCAGCATCCAGGACACATTCTCATTCAGCCGATAGCAGCTACGCAGTGTCACGTACTGAGCTGACGAATAAATAGCAACCGCCCACCCGTGTGCCTCGTGTCAACTCTTGTGTGTGCACCTATTCAGGGATTTGCCAAATTACGAACCAACTACTAACTGAAATTTCCAAAATTGCGTCACTTGACGCATCATTTTTTTTTTATTGTTTTCTTCACAATGACAGCATGCCAGAAAGAATAATTTCACTAGTTTGCTATCTTTAAACCAAGTAAGGTTTTCATCAATAATTTTGTCAGTTTACCTTTTGGATAGCTGCAATATTAAAGGTGTTTCACAGTAATATGTGCCATCTTGTTTGCGGGGCAAAAAGAACATAGTTTGCTAGAATGAACGCATAATGACTTGGAAGCACCAAACTTTTCCATTGACGATACGTACAAAGCAATGCGTGTAAAATTGCCCCGCGGGCAAGATGGCGCATATTACCGTGAAACACCAGATTGAGCTACATGTACATGTACCAGTACCTTTAAAGCTGACTGTCACCATTGATTGACAGAGCTCTGCAAAAGGTATCATGCCTGAAAAATGGGAATAAAATGTCTGTCATTACACAACGTCAAATCCCCTTTGACCATCTGATTGGCGGTCATTGATCACATGACTTCATCCCAACCCAAGACCTGGCCACACCACAAAAACAGAAGTTTCATCCAGTGGTAAATAGAAGTTCCACTGCATGGTCACACTATTGTACTCTATAGACTGGCAATGACTAGTGCACGTCTGTACAATCCGAGGGACTGTGAGTGATCCAAAGGCCGAGGGATATAGGACCCTCTTCTGGTCACTCACGGGCCCGAGGGGGCATTGACATGCACTAGTGAGTGACCAAATTATGCCACATGAGTTTTATAACACACCTCTGTCCAAAATATAAAATAAGAGTTTTTAATTTGAACTGTATTATTGCAATTAACTCACTCGGAGTTAAACCAACTGCTTCTTTTCAGAACCACACAACTCACAAAGATATCATTCCCATGGTGTTACTGCAAACCTCCCATTCATTGATCATGTCCACAATGCGCACCATGCAAACCTACGGTCTCATTTGACTCCTAAGCAATTCAACAATAAGCAATTAAACGCAATACGTGGAAGTTGAAACAGAGGGTAATGTAACCAGTCAAAACATTTGAATATGGTGCCCTATCGGGCACTATACTCTGGAAATCACGCATACGTGATGTCTTGATGCGCGTCTAGTTCCGCTGACGCAAATTTCATGCACTAGTCTATATTAGTGAACCACACATGGCTGTGTTTCAGCCATCCATGATAAAGAACCAGCAAGAGATGTGTTATAATGATTAGGCAAAAAAAAAAAAATAATAGTTCTGCTTTCGATTACATGCCTTTCAAAAATAGGGTCAGTCGGTCGAAAAAAAAAAATTTGCCAATTTTTTTTATGCAGATTGAATGGGGTATGCAATTATGTGCAAAGTTTAAGCCTGAACTATTTCCATTGCACTTCGAAAGCTATAGGCCTACACGAAATGACAAAAAGTGAATAAAACCTACCTTTAATTATTGTTAATATATTTAAGTTCGATAATTCCAAAAAATAATGGAAAATTCAGGTCGTTCGCACCATATGCACAACGCTAGTCAAGACGCGGGGAGCTGGCCAAAACTCTGAGGTGTGTGATGTGTGGCGAGCGGCGCACCATGGGCCGACAGACCTGTTTTTACGGTCAAAAATTTCGGGAAACACGCGGCATGTATCACTCCAAAATACATGTACGATTAGTGCGATCTCAAAATGAACTCTTGAACACAGAAAATACATACACAGACAACCTAGATCAATTCTGTAAATTAACTTGCAAAAATGTTCTTTCTCCATCGGTGTTTTCTTGGCATTTTTACGATGTCGAATCCGACCAGTTGACAGTGGCCCAGAGTTGTAACGAGTCACTGATTTTTGTGACTCGAGTCGAGTCGAGTCATTTTAAAGAAGTGACTCGAGTCGAGTCGAGTCATTAGGTCAACAAGGTCGAGTCGAGTCGAGTCGAGTCACAGTGTGTGGTCGAGTCGAGTCGAGTCGAGTCAAGTATTTAGCTCGAGTCAATTCGAGTCACAAATATTTGAACACTATATAATAAATTACAATAAAAAACAACAAACACAAGAGAGAAAGAATACAAGGCACCAGTCTATTACAAAAATCCAAAGACATAAAGTATGCTGTATGGTACCCAACCAACAGTTTCCATTGCTAGCTCACGTCACAGATAAGAAGATGTGAAACTTCGGTCTTACAACTGTTTTGGCTTCGGGTCTAGATTTTGCTGATCGTTGACAACGTCAAAACCTAATTACATTATACAAAACTGTTTCTGATTATTTAAAGGTGGTCCCATCCGTATCCATTTTTTTTTTGTGTGAAATCGGGACATAAATTTAGCCAGCGTTCCACCAAGAGCTTTATAAGAAATCGCCCGAAACCAATGATGAAACCACGGATTGAGAAATGCGTTTTAAGTCTGGTTCCGGGTTTAGCATTACATGCTATAGAACCACAAGGTGGGAGTCCGCGACACGGTGTATGTTTGTTGTATCATTATGGAGGAAGGAAAACAGACGGCCGCTGTATATGAACGTACATAATTCGCGAACATAACGTGACCTGAACAAAAACTGGCAATGCGAACGGCACGGCGTAAGTCATTGCAAATATTTTTCGCAAGTAAGTTTTGCTTTTATTTTTGGGACTCGAGTCTTATTAGCCTTCCTCGAGTCAAGTCGAGTCATTCTGATGAGGGACTCGAGTCGAGTCGAGTCATTTGCTCGCAGTGACTCGAGTCGAGTCGAGTCATTTACCTGTCAGGACTCGAGTCGAGTCGAGTCACCAAAAAATGTGACTCGAGTCGGACTCGAGTCGAGTCATTGACTCGAGTCATTACAACTCTGCAGTGGCCTGCACTGCAAGCGCGCTGTTGGTCGCATAGCTATGGACTGGTTACCGCATTTTCATCATGTCTTCTAAATTGGCCCTGCGCGGCGCGGCGGGAACCAGTCGTCGCCACATGATTATACATAGTCACCGTGACATCGAATTGCAAAGAAGTTATATCGCGAAGCGAATTTGTAAAAATAACGGAGGTTTCTTTTGAAAAAAAAAGCAAATGTAAGCAGCGGCGGTGGAACGGGTTTGAAACTGGGGGGCATCACCAAAAAGGTGCACTTGGAAACCCGTGCTGAAATGTCGACACGTTTTTTTTCACCGGGCACTTGTCCTCCGTAAAATCAAATAGTGGGGGGGGGGGGGGGTATCATTTTTCAACATGGGGACACTCTTCAAAACCAATGATTATGTGCTAAATATACATTATGTGCCCATTTTCAAGCCGTATTGTATGGGTTTTCGGACTTGGTTTTCATATTCCTCATTTATATCAAAAATATCTATACCATTATTGGGATATGGTTACTTCTAAGAAATAGTAAGATACTTTAAGGGCATTTTTGTTGTATCTTGAGGGGGCACTTTACTGTTCGAGGGGGCACATTTATGGCCGCAAAAGGGGCACTTGGGAAAATCTGGGGGGGCAAATGCCCCCCCCCAGGCCCCCCCCCCCCCGGTTCCGCCGCCCCTGAATGTAAGTAAGGAAACAAAAATAGATACAAGCATTTTTTGATGCAAAAGGGTTGTTGAGAGGTATTTTGTGAAGACAGAAAAGACAACAAGATTATATTTTTATTTATTCAATCTTTTTTCTTTTTTTTTGGAATTGCCGATAAAATGTTTACGGTCGCAGCCTAAAACTAGGGTCGGTCAGGTAACGGGAAGCAGAACTGTTCTCTTTTTTGGCCTTATTACTATACCTCATAAATATTCATCAGGTAACTGCAGCATTTCATTGGTCAATTCCAGCAACTCAACCATGTGAAAGTTTTTACTATTTCCCCTCGTGTTTGTGCGTGCGTATAACGAGGGAGGTACTTGTACTATCACATACCTGGGTCGCAGCCTTATATTTGTTCCAGAACTGTGTTATCTCTTTACCAACGATGCATACGCTTTACATGCGTACCGTGGAGATCACAGTACAAGTAAGGAAAGTTGTGCCAGTCTGTTACATGTACATATGACATACATCAATATGGTGACCGGTGGGGCTGACTTATTATGACGACTTATGTGGCAGCCGCCACTTAGTTTCTGGCGGCCGCCACATATAAGTAGCAGTGACTGTACAAAAAAATATTTTCACATGCACCAAAAAAATATATTCACACTCATTGAGTGGCACTATCCGTCTTCCGTATGTGCCCGTCCCTCAGTTGCAGATGCTTTTCGCCGTGACGCTTTTTGAACCGCCATGACGTGCTTAAGTTGTTTGCGTATCTTCTACTTGCGTGCTGCATTTAGAGTACACTTTAAAATTCAATCCATCTATTTTGATTGTGTTCTACAAACACGCACATAAAATCAAAATGTCTGCACCCAGAGCGGCTTCAAAGCGTCTCCACGCGCAAGAATGAGGAGTTACATGTAGCGCTCTTGTAATTTAATAAAGCTCTATGCACTAGGCTTATACTCTGGAAATTACGCACGCGCGATGTCTCCAAGCGCGTCTAGCATGTCTAGTTCACGCTGACGCAAGTTTCATACACTAGCCTCTAGATCTTAGTGAATCACACGTGACCGCCTTTCAGCCAACCAGGATAAAGAACAAGCAGGAGGTGTTGTAAATGTATATATAGCCATGTTCATGGGTCCAGTTATGGCTGTGTTGTAGTTTATCATGTTTATTGTGTGCTTGTGCCGATCAGCCAATCAGATTATTCCTCAATTATTCGACACGTTCGAAGAATAATCTGATTGGCTGATCGGCACAAGCACACAATACAGCCGTGCATGACAGTACAGCGGCACTGGACAGTTTTTCTGAAGAAGCCACCGAAATCATCAACATTTTTCAGTTTAGTAATTTCTATTCTGTTTCAAGTCAATCATTGGCTTCATGAATGACTGACATGACTGAGTGCAAACTATGACGTATGTTTAATGGAATCTGGGTTGGGATAATACAAAATAAGGGGAAAAAATAACCATTTTGTGGAGGCCATCTTTTTAGGGTCTCTTACAATCTCACATAAATTTACGACGTAGTTTTGTCTCCAGCTTTACATGTGAATTCCTGATGAGCATGTCAGCTGGAGTTACTTAAGCTAGGCCGGCCCCAAGAAAGAGCTACTGACAGGATTGAGGTCGTGTTGTTACAGGCCCCTCAGCTTTAGCTTAGCCCCATAAATGTGGCCAATTTACTGGACTACCTCCGTCAATATACATGTAGGCCACACCCGCATAATATACCCAAACATTTAGGACTTTGTAATAATTGGATTTTCACATTCAGACTTTGTTTGTAGTTTATTTCATTCTCTTTAGCAATATGCAATGGAAAAGAAGTATCTGCTTGCTCAGACGTCTACTTTTCGTGTAATTTCCAGGCTCATTTGCACACGTTTGTGTATCTTTAGTCAAGGCACACGTGGCAACCCAGACCTGCCACGTCCACTCACGGGGTCTTTTTTTGTGCTAGCATTGGACCTTACGTGTACATTGCGCGTGATCTTTTCGATGTTGGAATTTAGATACAAACGTGTGCAAACAAGCTTGGAAATTACATGCAAAGTAGACGTCTGAGAAAGCAGATACTTCTTTTGCATTGCTAGTAAGGGTGAGTGTGCTTCTAACGCGTAAATAAACTACAAACAAAGTCTACTCTTAGCTCAGTCTTTCATAGTTTCTACTAAATTAGAGTCAAGGGTGTTTTTTATCATTCAAAAATCGGACTTCAGAAAGAATTTCCATACCTGGACATCACTTGACTTTAGAAAAAATTCTAATTGTTTTCTTAATAGGAAATGCTTCAATATTTTCCTAGCCCAGGTGGACTCCCTTATTACCACAGTCGTAATAATCACATTCATCCCAATCCACACTCCACAGACTGGCCACTTCCACAAAAACAGAAGTTTAATTCAGTGGTAAATTTAGTTCCACTGCACGGTCACACTATTTATAACACTGGTCAGTTTATTGTACAGGCATTGCGAAGTCTTGAAAAAATGTTTGTACTTGATGTGACGTGCAGGAAATAATGCATGAGGGCATAGGGCATGCAGTCTTCAAAATACGCGTCATGTAGGCCCTTCAGGCTGGAGCACGGCCTGTGAGACTCTTCAGTGTTTGTCTTCAGTTACACCCTCTGAGTTTCCAAACTGTTAAGGTTTTTTCTGGCTTATTTCAGGTTTCTCATAAGATGGCTTAACCGAACCGACCTGACCCAAAAATCGTAAAGGCAAACCAAAACCAAGCCAAGCTGACCTGACTGAAATTATAGGAAAAACGACCGACCAAATCCGAACCGAAGTCGATTTCGGGACGGGTCGGTTTCTGTTTTATGTCAGGTTTGCACAACATAAAGGCATTCCTAAGTTTACTTTGGTACATGTAGCACAATTGAGCCATGTGCATTGGTCAAGGACAATAAATTATGGTAACAGCAATTGTTCAGGTCCCACCAACACTAACCAATCACAGTTGTTCTACTTGGCCTTATACATGTACATGTACACGTAACTGGTACCCCAAAACTGTTTCTTGTTTTTATTTCTAAAGTACATGTACATTTATTTTTGGAAAGAGTGTCCCTTCAGTAGTCTGGTTACTTGACTTGAGAAAATGTGTAGAAACAGAGACGCTAGGTACTAGATGTTTCTTTTGACACAGTTAATTGATGCAGCTGCAGTACTAAAGGGATGTTGGACTGGTTCCGTGTGCCAGTCTATTTTCTTGTATTGCATACATGTGTGTTTCTACTATCTTAAGGTTTGGGATTATCATACACTGTATTGAGAGTCCCAAATCCATGAAATCTTCAGACTAGGATGGGTGGGCCAATGCAGCTGAAGTTTGGACAATCTGTACATATGTTGGGATGGTCCCAACTTAAGCTGCACTGTGTTAAACTATCCTTAGATTTGGGATTATCATACACAGTATTAAGAGTCCCAAATTTTCAGACTACGATGATGGGTACAGATTAAGTTTTAGCTGCAATTCCTTTTTTTTAATCTGTTCTTTTTTCCAATCTGTTCTTTTTTCCAATCTGTTCTTTTTTCCGGCTTAAAAAAAACCACTGGAAAAAGAAAAACTGTGGAAATGCGTTGATTTTTACCTCGTTAGCGCTCTCGAGTTGTGTACAGGCCTTGGGCACGCATGGCACAACGTTGTTCTTTGAAGGCAGGTAGTCTTAAAAACAAGTCTTTTGTTGTTGCCGAGCCTGCATGCGATACAGGTGGCCAACGTACTTGCCCTCAGTATACAACGGCGCACGCGTCAAAATCAAGTCTATCATTTCAGTTATCGATGGTTTCCAATTGCAGTGATATATGTGAATACAAAAAATGCCGGGTACCAACCATGTTTTCGTCACGCGTATTGTGTAGTGCAAAGGTCATGTATACTGACAGTGTTGTGGAATGGTGCATGTTTCGTCTAGAAAACGTTGGAAATTCAGGTAGGCCGAATAAAAAATAGGAATATGGAAAAATTCAAAGTGATTGAACGAACCGACAGCTTAAAGTTAAAGGCCACAGAAGCAAAAATAAAAAATAAATGGAACTGGGTTTAGCTACCAGAGAAAGATGACAACAGAGACTTTGTGTCGGAGTGGCTTTTTCAAACAAAAAGAATTCTGTTTTTTTTTCAAGCAGCTGTTCCAGGTTTTTTCAATCAGACCCTGTTCCCTGTTTTTTCAAGCAGACCCTGTAGCATCTCTGGTTGGGACTATCCCAACATATAGTGGGACCAATAGTCAAATTGGGGTGTAACATATGCGAATTAAGCCTATCAAAAAACAAACATTTTTTTAAGCTTATCAGAATCAAGAGAATTTTCATGAATCCCTTTTGAGACATGTGTTTCATACCCATGAACATGAATATAATGCCAATACTGGCCAATCAAGTTGTCAAGCTCCATGCTTCTACTGTGACCAATTTTGTTGTTCCTCTGAGCCCGATGACTGGAACCTGGAAATAAATTTTGAGATTATTTCTTCTTTTATTTTCAAAGTTTGAAAACTTTTCAAGTTTATGTACAAATTGTTTCTCATAATCCATGCTTTAATTTGTTAATAGATGAATTATAAAATGATCAATTTTAAAATACTTTAAAGCATGACTGGCTCACTGCCCCAATTGGTTTACGCATGAACTGTATTGGTTGGTTGTTTTCTGTACCCATGGTGCAATGTGAATGTCAATCAGGTTTATTGAGTGTCCCAAATGCTCAGACTATAGGCTTGCCCTGCCATTTGCCTTGTCAGTGGTCATGGGTGCGTTCACAAATCTGTTAAAATATTCCAAAGTTAATCCACCAAAGAATGAAACGTGACACAGTTTTTTCCTTAATCATTGACAAACAGGACTTCCAATTGTGGGCCGGTGATCCAAAGAACCATGGATGCACAATCTGAAGCAGCCTGCCAACGGCCTGATGACCCTACCACCATGCAACGATCTGCAGCAGCCAGCAAAGAAACTGATGTCCCTACCACGATGCAACAATCTGAAGCAGCCTGTCAACGGACTGATGTCCCCACCACAATGCAACAATATGAAGCAACGTACCAACGGACTAATGTCCCCACCACGATGCAACAATCTGCAGCAGCCTACCAATGGACTGATGACATCCCTTCCATGATGCCACAATCTGCAGCAGCCTACCAATGGACTGATGACATCCTTCCCATGATGCAACAATCTGCAGCAGCCTACCAATGGACTGATGACATCCTTCCCATGATGCAACAATCTGCAGCAGCCTACCAACGGACTGATGACATCCTTCCCATGATGCAACAATCTGCAGCAGCCTACCAACGGATTTATACCCCTACCACTATGCAACAGGAGGCTCAGGTACCTGCTGCATTAGGTAAGTACGCATCACAGGGTGAGTAAAAAAAAGAAACCCAAATGGTGTCTTTCCAGATCTAGGATATGAAAACCTAATTATTAAGTTTTTATTTAGTGAAAGGACCATTCAAATTGCCCTTGTACTTTTCCCTGGTATAGGAATTTTGAAGACAAACACCATTTTTTAAGCTTTTCCACAGATCACAAAGGTTGGTGATATTTAAGCAAAATGAAAACTATTCCCATATCAATTAAACACATCAGAACACTCTCATAACCATGGTAACTGGCACTAATCATAACATTTATTTAGTGTTGAAACATACATGTATGAGTTATTGACAAGAAATATCGTACAAATACTGTTCAAATCACTTTTGCGAATCAGTATTTGTGGCGTTTGGCTGTACATGTACATGTTTATCAGAAGTTGGCTGGCAAATTTTGCATTTTGAAAATTTCAAAACTTTCGGCAAAAATAAACCTGGCGTGAAGTGGTTAAAATAAGAGGCTTTATACTGTCAATAGTTTATTGTTTTGCACTGCCTTGTTTTTGGCTACCCCAGAGACTTATGGGATTAATGATTCTGATATCATTTTCAGGATGCGACATGGTTTCATTTTTAATACTGAAATATCACATGCCAAATGTGATTTGTGGACAAGGTTAAAAAACCTTGTTGTCTTCAAAATTCCATAAATGGAAAAATGCATGAGCGATTTGAATGTGTCTTTCACCAAGGCCAAAAAAAAAAGTCTCCGGTTTCTGGTATGCGCGCGTCGCGTAGCCATGCGCGTCGGCAAAATGAAAATTTTTTTTTTTCAATGAAAGATGATGTCTCAAACCGCCAAACTCACTGGTTTGACTGGAATTCTGCTGGTGCACAATTTTAACGTGTTTTTAAATGGGGTTATGATCGAGAATAAGCTTTATGTGGCCTCTCTGGACTCCCATATATTTGCACTAAGTTTAGCCGGGCACCATTTGCAGTCATCAGCCAACATTTGAAGCAAAAAGTCGGGTAAAAAAAAAGAAAAGCCGTTTCGCCGCACCACTTTTTGGACAAGCCCCATACCAGAAACCGGAGACTTTTTTTTTTGCCTAAAAGGAAGCTTAGTAATTTAGCTTTCATAGCCTAGATCTGGAAAGTGCTACATGCACAACTTCTTCAAAAAATAGGGGGCGCCATTTGGGTTTCTTTTTTTTTACTCACCCTGTAGTTGCTTGCAGTTGGTTTTTAACCTTTAGTGGAGAAGCATTTACCACCCTCCCCCTCCACACCTCACCCGAAGATTTGAGATTGATATGCATGTACCGGTAGATGTAGGTATTTCTTGTACTTCTTTGTCTATTATCGGTCAGATCATGGAGCTCCTTTTTATAGCTCCATGGTCAGATTGAATAAAAAAATGTTTTTCTTCTATGAAAGGCACGGAGCCCCTAAAGGGACATTCAATATTATTTTTTTTTATCTTGTGCAAACGAAATAATATCTCATGCGCACGACATAATTATATATAAGGAGCTAGCTGGCTGCACGTGGCGTGCACAAAATCAGACGACTTTGTTTGTAACGAAAGCAGCGTGTTTATTTGGGAGGGGGCGTAATCATAAATGCAGCCATTACGTTACATGTCAAGTCAGATAGATGGGGATTTTTGATTAATTTTGTAAGACTGCCTTTTTGAGAGAGAGAAGTGTTTATATAGCTAAAAATTCATTAGATAGAAGTTGCGCCCGGGTTTTTTTTATGTCGGTGAAGTGCCAAACCTACTTATGTTTTATAGCTAAGAAAACAACAAGGAATTAAAAACTGTTACATGTATGTGCAGGTAAACTTGGGGAATAATCAATCAGTGTTTTCCAACTTTGAAAATTAAAGGTTGGCGCTGGGGTCGGCGGGGACTCCTGCGAGCACGAAGCCCTTACGGCATGGGGTCCGGGGCCCGCTTAAGGGCCCCGAGAAAATTTTGGATTCTAGATGCTCTGTGGTGCAATCTGAGGCGATTTCAGGCCAGTTCCCCCGATTTTTTTAGCATTCGAAAATTACCTTTTCAAACTAAAGCAGACTTCTCTCAGATCAAATGACACCTTTTTGTAAGTTTGAAGAAAAAAAAAGGATACAAATTACTGTATTGACATGCAAGGGGCTATTCACTTTCTTTACTTCTTGACTTCATTTTTTTTTTTTTTTACAAATAATGGTTATGATGAGTACAGTGGTAAGAATAATTCCATCTGTCACCTCATGAAACTATTCTTTATGTTGCACGAATGTGAAACATTCATTATTTGTTTATACAACGCCTGAATAAATCCTTGTCATCTGATTTGTTAGAGCCATCAGAGCCGTGTAACACCGCTACCAATAGTGTGACCGTGGAACTGAACTTCTATTTTTGCGGTGTAGCCAGGCCGTGTGGGTTGGGATGATTAATCCAATAAATCATGTGATTAATAACCCACCAATCAGATGAAGGGGATTTATTCAGGTGTTGTATTATAAGAGACATTTTATTCCCATTTTCCGGACATGATCCCAGTTGCAGCAGTCGATCAATTGCAGTAGTCAGTGCAGCAGATATCAAGAGGTAGAAGACAACAAATAGTTAATGATACACAATCTCTTTTCATGCATCCACTCCTATTTGCTTATTTCTGGATCAGTGTAATTTATTGCATGTTTGATTGAAATAGGTTTCTGATGAAGCTTTCAAGATAATAAGTCAAAGTGGGAGCAGGACCTAAATATTGTTGAATCATGAGCATAAACAAGACAAATAGTTTGTCTGGTGTTTGTGTTGTGAAGCATAGGCTGCATCCGAATCAGCTGTCTAGAGCTTGGTCTAGGTCTGCGCCCATTGATGTACAGTGATGTAGTTGCTGCCATCGAATATTAGCCAGTTGGCAACTTACTGCAAATTTGTACAGTTCATCAAAGCAGAGACCTTGTGTTGCTTTACCAACCATTTGCCTCATCTAGGGATGTGTTACTGCAACGAAATGAAATTGTTATTTCAATAAATACATGTACAAATTGTAAGCATTAACCCTCCTAGTCAGTTCTGCACTTTGGCTGGTACAGTTATCACCCCTACTTCAAATTTGTTTGCTTTGTGTCGGTTTGGATAACACTTCAAATTACAGCGCAATTGTTGTGTGTGGTGAAGCTTATTTTAGGCAAGAATGTAGATTCTGTCACGCTTCATGGATGTTGACACAGAGCTGTGTTTTTGTGAAGTGACTATTATATTTGTGTGCATGTATATGACACACTTACTTTTCCACTTCACATCCCTTCACTTGAAACTGACTTTCAGGGTTTTAAAGGGTCGACTTCCCAAGAGGAGGATCAATTCCCTAATAAATGATAATGTGCTTGTCTACCTTTTTCGACAATAAACAATGGTCTTTATCATATTTGATTGATTGAAGATGATGCACATGCATCACACCACTCTCCATCAGTTGACATATCAGAGAATCCACCAAGTACATCACAGCAACCACCAACACGGCATGTGGCCTCAGGTGCACAAGGTAATTATCAATGAATGTACCAACTCCAAACCAGATGTAAATGTAGTCATTCCTTACAGACTAGACTCACACTTGTACAGGGTGAGTAAAAAAGCGGAACCCAAACCCCTCAAAATATATTTCATTAAAAAAAATATGTAGCACCAAACATAATAATGATTGGAAAGCCAATTTCATAAGTTACTTTTAGATAAAAAAAATTACTGGAATTGCTCACTCTGTTCAAAGAATATCACCATTTAAACGTAATGACTTTTAACCTGTTTTGTCCAAAAAAGCAGTTTATTGTGTATGCTGACTGTTTGGAACAACAAAGAAAATAACACAGAATACTTGTTTCAACAACTGTCAACAACTACAGTACACAATATCTTTATTAACAACCCTGGTTAGTCAAACAATCTGATAATTTATAAAATCCACTCTTTTTTTTTGTAAAGACGGGCCTTCAAAAGGACTTTGTTGAATATTTTTAACTTTTAAACTGAGGTTTTATCGCTGGTGATGTTTGAAGACAATTTTGACGACGATTCTTGAAATCACATTTTTGGAAGAAAGAGGTTTTTGGGTCATTGTGTTTAAATGGTGATATTTTTTTTAATAGATTGAGCAATTTCAGTATTTTTTTCATCTAAAAGTAGTTTATGAAATTGGCTTTCCAGTCATTATTATTTTTGGTGCTACAAATATTTTTAAATATGAAATATAATTTTGGGGGTTTGGGTTCCGCTTTTTTTGACTCACCCTGTAGTTGCTTGTAGTCAATTTATAACCTTGCTGGGGAGTGGAGATACATTTAATTACCACCCTCCCCCTCCCCACCTCACCTGAAGATTTTTTGATACAGCCTGGTGTGGTATGTCATGTACTTCTTTGTCTATGAACGGTCAGATTGCAAAAAAACCACATTTGTCTTCCAAGAACAGACGACAAGTAGAGATGGAATCAAGCACATGCATACATCATTTTGTCTGTCGTTTTCTTAACGATGGTGTTATTCCTGCTTCTGATTGTAGATTCCCCACAACGAACTGGAACCATCGGAAACAGCGGCACAATCAGTGGCAGCAACAACCCTGTTATTGTTGGTTCAAATGTTGGTTCAATCAATTACACCTTCCTGTTGGAGGGACCTGGTAAATAATAATCTTGTTCGTTAAGATGGAAGAAATTTGATATGAAATGTCAATATCTATATATATATTTTTTTTCGTTTTATGGGAGAGAGAGAGAGAGAGAGAGGGAGAGACATAAACATGGGCGCAAAAGACTGTCAGTTCCAAATCATTGTTGACATAATGGAGGGTGCTTTATGTAGCGGTTAAGTCTTGTACTTTTTTTTAATGATTAAGTTTTTAAATAATAACAGGCATTTATATAGCGCTTTAAAACGGGGTATCGCTTTACAATTATTATTACCTTCTGAACTCCCTGGGGAGCATACACGGCCGGTAGGCAGCCATTTCGGTGCTCTTGGCTGTAATCAACCTCACACAGTAATCATCTCTGCCCTCACAGGTACCCATCTACTCCTGGGTGGAGTGAAACAATGAGTGACAAAGCGCCTTGCTCAAGGTCACATGCACCATGACCCTATGCTGGCCAGACAGACTACAAATTCAATGCTCCAGACCACTAGGCTTATATATTTGTGCCACATTTGAAAAAGGCTTGACCTAAGTCCCACATTATTTTTGCATTTATCAGGCTGTCAAGTATTTCTATTTTTCCTATTTTTTCCTATTTTTTTTACCTTTCTCCGACTTTTCCCTACTTTTTCTTAAAAATTCCTACTTTTCCCCACTTTTTTTATGTCCCACAACTCCGAAAAATGAAATCTCACTGAACATAATGGTGTTACACACTGTCATATGTAAATCACACAATGAAGGGCTTGGGCGCAGGAATACTGCAACTGTACTTACAAGAGCTTAGTTGAGGATGGAGCGCATGTGTTGTGAGTACAGAACATGCCAAATGAGGCTTATGATGCTGTGGACGTGGGCGAGTATCAACGAAAACTACTCCTGAAAGCCCACAAAAGTCCTACTTTGTCCTGATTTTGTCCTCCAAAGTCCTGTTTCTGCCCTGTTTCGGTTTCCTTAATTTTGATGCTACTTTTCTTCTAATGTTTTCCTGGGTCTGCTTGAAAGCTTGATTTATGCATGAGTGAATGGAATAATGGGTTGTTTTTGGGGGGAAATGAATAATCACGGTTGGTAACATGAGCTGTTGGGCAAAGCAAATTTTGTTGTGGGTTCGTACATTGCGATTGACTTCAGCTTATTACTTCAATCGTTGCTTATTTCTGGATAGGGCTGGAAAAATGACTTCTAATTCTGGTTACCAACTGACACATTGTTATGACCTGACCCCCCCAAAAATAGTTTTTTTCAAAACTATTTTTTGGCCCCCAAAAAAATATGCACATGGTGTAATACTCCATTTAATCATCACAAAACAATTTCCAATCAAAAATAATAATTCCAACTAACCTGCCTAACGAGAGGGGGGGGGGGGGGGGAGGGGGGAGGGGGATGGACCCTGTTTTTGACATGCATATATAATATTTTGCCGCAGTCTAATTTAATGTATTTGCTTGAAAGAGGTTTCTTAAACTTCCAATTCCTTTGTCGATTGTGGCAACAGAATCCAAACAGTGTTGATTCATGAGCATTTACATGTAAGCAAGAAAAATACCAAGGTCACTGTTTGTCTATGTTGCCGGTCCCACCAAATATTAGACAATAGGCCCTATAAGTTGGTATAAACTTCATGTAGATTTGACCTTGTGCTGCTTTTAACTGTTGACTTCAACTAGAGATGCGTTACTTTATAAATAGTGCCCTCCCACTTAAACAGTGACCCTCCTAGTCTTCTGCACATTGGCTGATAGAGTGCGCACACCACTTCAAAGTCGTTTGTGGTAATCTTATCTATGGGTTTGGATAACACTTCAAATCCAAGCACAATTCTTTCATGAGGTTAATCTTAATTAGGGCAAAAATGTAGATTCAGTCTCTGTTCACTGTTCTCCACACAGTGCTTTTTTGTGTGCAGTGAATGTGTGACACAGTTACTTTGACATTTCACATCCCTTCACTTGAAACTGAACTGCAGGGTTCGTGTAAAGGGTTTGTTTATGATTATTGTCTTCCCACTAGGAGGGATGATTCCCAGATAAAGGATTATGAGCTTCTATCTCCTTTTCCGGCAATAAACAATTATCCTTCTCATATTTGATTTGATTGAAGGTGGTGCCGGTGCACATGCATCACACCACTCTGGTCATCCATCAGTTGACATATCAGAGAATCCACCAAGTACATCACAGCAACCACCAACACGGCATGTGGCCTCAAGTGCACAAGGTAATTATCAATGAATGTACCAACACCAAACCAGATGTATACATGTACATGTAGTAAATGTATACATTCTTTACATACTAGTCTCACACTTGTATGATGGAAATAAAATGTTTTGTTCTTGTTAATTTGCTGTATGCTAAAGCACAGCATCTTTTTGCTTCCCATGCATGCCATGAGTTTGAGAAAATAAGACGTTTTTCATGAAAATAAATGTATCATCTGTCATTAATAGACCAATCCATTTAGCCCCGCCCCATTATGTTCTGACCAATCACAGCCGTGACTTATGTCTGACATCATATAAGTGCACAAAAGCCTAACATACTTGCACGGGCATGTGCGTGCAGCTGTAACATGCAGTGTGGCATTGGCGAGGAGCACATGTTAATTGCCTACGTGCACAGTGGGCGGGGCTTACTGGATCCAACATGCGTGCAGATGCGTATATATATGACGCTCACAGCTGTAACATGCAGTGTGGCATTGGAGAGGAGCACATGTTAATTGCCTACGTGCACAGTGGGCGGGGCTTACTGGATCCAACATGCGTGCAGACGCGTATGATGCGCGTGGCTGTAACATGCAGTGTGGCATTGGAGAGGAGCACATGTAATTGCCGACGTGCACAGTGGGTGGGGTTTACTGGATTGGTCTATTGCAGAGCTTTTGCAACACTTGTTGTGTGAGTGACTAAGATTCATGCATCAGTGAACGGGAAGTTATTTCAATCCTGTCAAGATTTATCCTCCCAAGCTTTAACCAACAAGCTTTTAGAGCTTTAACTTTTGCATACAATGAGCCAATATTTCAGCTCAAAATGGTACTTTCTACAGACAAGGAGCCAATTTATTTCTTGGATGCCACAATGCATTGTATGATTAAGTCAGTCAACTCTATGCTCATTTCAATATTGTAGGATGCAGCGCCCCCAAAAAGATGAAGCTTGACAGTTCAGCCCAAGATGCCGCTGATTTCTGTGAAGGTGAACTGAAGTCATACTACAGGAGGAAAGGTAGCTTTGTTAAGTTGATTCCATGGGTGGGTGATGACAGGAAACACATAAAGAAAATCTACACAAAATTACAGTTAATACTTGGTAAGGACAGAGTCAAGCTGGCATCATATGACGATATATTACAACGTGAGACAGAAGAGGGAGATCTGATCCTAATAGCTGTTTTAACTGGGTTAGCTGGTAGAGGAAAGACCACACTTTTTAACAAAATTGCATATGATTGGGCAGTTGGTTCTAGTCGGGTACTACGGAAGTACAAACTTGTCTTCCTGTTGAAAATGCACGCACTGGAGCAGAGTTCAGATCTTGTCGATGCAGTTTTTGACCAACTCTTGGCTAAAGATGTAAGTATTGAAAGAGGTGCCCTGGACATGTTTATCAAGAACAGTCCTGGAAAAGTCCTTGTTTTACTAGATGGCTTTGATGAGCTCATGACCACCACCTTGTGTGATTCTTCATTTGGTTCCATCCTGGAGATCCTTAATGGAAAGAAGTTGAGGGGTTGTACTGTACTTGTAAGCACCCGCCCCTCACATGTTGACAGACTTGTATCAGAGAAACTGGTTCAGGACCCATTCACACATGTCGAGGTCATGGGTTTCAGTTGGAAAAATGTCATCGAGTATGTTAATAATTTTTTTGTTGGTGAACCTGACAAGGCCAAGGGGCTTCTTGAAAAGATTAGATCGTCAGGCCTTTTGATTGACTTAGCTGCGAGCCCAATGCTTCTTCTTGTGATGTGTGTACTATGGCAAGAAAAGTGTACACTCCCAGAAACAATGTCACTTCTGTATCATGATGGATTTTCATATATCTTCCGAAGAAAAGGATTGGACTCACAAGATGAAGCAGCAAAAGTTGTGATTGAAATTGGCAAGGTTGCGTTGCATGGTCTTCTTTCTCCAGATCAGTCACTCTCTTTCAAAGAAAGTGACTTTGAGCCGAGTGTGCTTGAGCTGGCTCTGAAAGCAGGTATTCTGACCAGCCAGAGAGTCCGCAAGAGACTGCAGAGTCACAACAGTGTTCAGTTTTTTCACAAGACATTCCAGGAGTTCTCTGCTGCTGCTTACTTGCAAAGCTTGTTAGAAGCAGACCCAGAAGAATTTCAGAAGATTTTGAATGAAATTATGTCAAAGGGTGCAAAGAGGTTTGAGTATCTTCTGCGCTTTTGTTGTGGTGACAATAAGGCATGTACATATGAGATTATGAAGGTATTTCAGGTGAGGTGTGGGGAGGAGTTGTCCTTCAAGTCATCCTCACAGATGGGTCAGTTGGCTCTGCATTGTTTCTTTGAAGGCCAATCGAAGCATTTGCCTCCAGAGGAATTCATACATTCATTCATAACTGATGAAATCTCCATTAGAGACCTTGACAGGGATAATCTGAACTCAGTCATACACTTTCTGAAATGTGTTGCTGAACAGACAAAAAACAGTGGCAACACATACCTTGCTAAGGTAAAGAAATTATTTGTAAACGTTGATAGATGGATATGGTTTATTGGCATGATTGAGGAGTTAGCTGTTACCATGTGTGCAATGACAAACCTTAATGCTGTACATTTCTTGTTTTGCCTACCATTGACTGGTAGCAACATGGCAGATATTGCTAAGTCGCTCAAGGACCTAACCAACTTGCATGAATTTTATATTCATTGTAGTGATAACCTGGGTGGTACAGCAGCATTATGGTGCATGCATTTGAAGCAGTTGAAATCTCTCAAGAAGCTGCACTTGAGTGCCTGCAGTTTGAATGGCCAGGACATAACACTTATTGCTGAGTCACTTATTGATTTACCTAACTTCAGTGAATTGACCCTTTTTAGTAATAACCTGGGTGGAACAGTAGCATCATGGTGCATGCATCTAAAGCAGATGAGGACCCTCACTAATCTGGACTTGAGCAACTGCTCATTGAATAGACAGGACATCAAACATGTTGGGGAGTCAGTCAGGGATCTACCCAACTTGGTTGAATTGAATGTTTCATATCATGGCCTGAGTGGTAGAGCAGCATTACGGTACATGCAATTAAAGCAGCTGAAGACCCTTACAAAGCTGGGCTTGTATAAATGCTCATTGAATGGACAGGACATCAAACATATTGCTGAGTCACTTCCCAACTTGGTCGAATTGGATCTTTCTGATAATGAGCTGTGTGGTACAGCAACATTGTGGTGCGCACAATTAAAGCAGCTGAAGACCCTTACAAAGTTGGGCTTGCGTAGATGCTCACTGAATGGACAGGACATGAAAGATATTGCTGACTCACTCAGGGAACTTCCCAACTTGGGAGAATTGGATCTTTCTGTTAATCACCTGGGTGGTACAGCAGCATTGTGGTGCATGCATTTGAAGCAGTTCAAGTCCCTCAGGAAGCTGGTCTTGAATGGCTGCTCATTGAATGGACAAGACATGAAACATGTTGCTGAGTCACTTGGGGATCTACCCAACTTGGTTGATTTGGATCTTTCTTGGAATACCCTGAGTGGTACAGCAGCATTATGGCACAAACATCTAAACCAGTTGAAGTCCCTTACAGAGCTAGACTTGGGTGGCTGCTCATTGAATGGACAGGACATCAAACATGTTGCTGAGTCACTCGTGGATCTACCCAGCTTGGGTCACTTGAGTCTTTATCAAAATGACCTGCGTGGCACAGCAGCATTGTGGTGCATGGAGGTAAAGCAGCTGCTGCACCTTCAGAGGCTGAACCTCAGAATCTGTAGCCTGACAGAGGATGACAAGAACCATATTGATGAGTCACTCAGTGACCTAAGGAAGAATGGATTAGACCTTGACATGGAGATTCAATAATTGCTGTGGGAAGGAATGCATGTAATTTTAACTGCCTATTCATTGCACCATCAAAACCATGTGAATGTCAGTAAGATACATAACCTATATGAGTAACAATATCTTCCACCTACTTTGGTTTTGAATAATATAAACTATGCCAAAGCTTTTTCATGAGCTTTTTTTTGGTTAGGCAGTTAGAGGGAAGATCTAAAACCTAGCTAGAAGCAAAATTGTAACAGGAGTGATTTGAGTTAAGCCAGAGATTTCCTCAGTGGCATACTTTTGGCTCCTTCATTGCAATTGGAACCGTTCTTTCTATTAAGCTGCACATATCACTGCACAGTGACAGTTAAAGATATGAAGCATAGATGACATTGTAGTAGGTGTCGCACTGATAGGCAGGACTTCTGCCTAAATTGGTCGGACTGCAGAATCTTTACTTTCATTAACACAAGACATTGGTGACTCAGCAACATCATGCAAGTCAAGTACACATCTATCAGTCAACTGTTTAATGTTGTCACCCATTTCAAAGCTAGAAAGGTGAATTTCTGATTGTAACATTCTGTTTTTAATCTGACATTGTCTTCATGAGGTGATTTTGCATTTTAAAAACCAGGGTCTTTTCAAACCAGGATTTTGTTGCTTTTATTTTACACATCCCACTGTAACATACAATTGTTGCCTGTTGTGATGGGGTCCATGGTGTTTTGTACACCCGAGAGTCGCCTCGGATTCCATTTGCACCCGAAGGTGTACAAAACCCATGGAACGCAGGCAACAATTGTTTTGTCATACCACGGTAATAGATTCCAGCCGTCTGAAATTGTGGGTTTCCTTCAGTTGCCGTGCATTAATCATGGAAGTATTGAAAAGATCGGCGATTACTGCACTGTGAATATTCACACAGAATATTGTGTTCATTGCAGGAACACACATTAATTTACCTTTTCCAGAATAGACCAATCCATCAATCCCTGCCCCGTTATGTACCAATCACAGCTGCGACCATAGTCTATGTGCGTCTATCGGACATAATGCGCGCGCATTCATCTGACATGTGTACGCCCATGTGCGCGCTGTCTGATGCCTCTTACTCGGGCTATTTCTATCACGTGCACGGTTCTCGACCAATTAAAAATCACAATCTATTACCGTAGTATAACAATATCTGGTTAATCCCTTCAGGCAATATGCAACACTACAGGTGGTCAGTCCAATGCTTGGGCACAAGTATACACCATGCATGCACACAACACAGGGACACAATAATGTAGGAATCTGTTGTTCATGCACCATTTTCTTTGATTAAAAGAATAATAGATGGTTTCATTACTAGACATAACAAATTTTACACTGGATGTTACATTTATTGAAATTCTGTGTGCATTTAGGTCAATCAAGAAGGGTTGATGTCAATCAGTCAAGTGATGATAATTGTTTCCTGCTGGTGGTGGCTAGTCAACTGTAATAATCTCCCCCAAGGCGATTTCAAGTTGAGTTAAGAGAGCAGTGAAATCCTGGAACCAAAACCAAATATATACTTGGGTATTCTCTTAAAAGAAGGTATCACAGCATGGGGAAGATGTCAGTATGTGAAGGGATGTTTCCTAGCTTTCACATTTCTCTGAGTGTTTCCTATACTTTCTGTTTCCCTGAGGGACGGGTGGGACCGGAGTTCCAACCGTCTACCGCCCTCTAACTTAACAGGTTGTGTTATAAAATCACCAGCTGTGATGAGGGAATCTTTCATTGAAGTTATCATTTGAGTGTTTCTTACACTTTGTGTTTCACATGGGAAAGTGAGTTCCAGTCATCTACCACCCATTGACTGACACACACTTCCTATCAGTTTGAGGGATTATTTCTGTGAACATGCATTGGCTTGTTTATGATGATTTGTGTTTCCCCTGGGGGAGTGAGTCCCAGTCATCTACCGCCCTCTGACTGAACACATTCTGCCTATCAGCTGTGATATGAGTGGGTCTTTCCTTGAACATGCCTCTGTCTATCTCTGCTGGTTTGTGTTTCTCCTAAGGGAGTGACTTCACCCTCTGACAACACATAGTGCCTATCAGCTCTCACTGTTTCTTCTGCTGTGTTTCTTTCCTGTACTACCTCTCATACATTTGAAGATCTAATGCACTGACTCCAAGCCAATTCAATCACCCTCATCAACTGAAAGTCAACATTCCTTTGTCCCCTTAATGTCTCCCCGGCCCATACAGAAAGTCCCTTGGCCTTGTCAGGTTTGAAACCTTAGCTGCATCAACTGACTTGAACTGTCTGCTCAGATTAATCATTACAGTCAAATTTGGACCTTCCCACATTGATGGGGAAATATCCAGCACAAAGTGCTGGTTAGCGGTGACATTTTGTGAGTCTCATTGTCAAGTTCTGTGAAAACACTTGTAAAGATCTGCCCAAGCAAATGATTTCTGTATTGGATAGTAACTGCACCTTGCACATTGTACCAAGGGGCACTGCGAACAATGTTGGTAATTTGTTCAAATGCTAGTTACCCAGGATATTTTTCAGAGAGGGAGATATTTGCAAGGACTATCTGTAGTCTGTGAATAATGAGGATCCTTATCTCTGTATTCCAGTAACTTGACTGTGACAGATGTAACAGTTGTCATTACATGTAGTGTGGTCATTACTCTATGGTATGATGATTGGGGATAACATGTACATGCAGAAATACAACCAGCCATTCTCATTAACTGTAATAATTGTACATTACATGATAAATTGTTTGTAAATATGCAGAGGTAATTTATATTTTTATATTTTTGCTATTTTTGTATCACTTGTTAAATGAATATTGCTGCAAATTGCCTACTGACCTGATTGACCTGCAGTGTACAATCATTTCTGTAAACATTTCTGAAATACCTGTGTTTGTAAGTATTAATTTTCGTCGTCTGTTTCGCCAATGCACTTTTCTTATGAGTGTTACTGTGCTGAACATTATTTAATAATTTGTAATGTATGCAGGGCCCCAATGGAAGTTTTTTTCCACACCCTGGGTATAAAGAAATGGAACAAAGAAATAAAAGAAATCAAGTGAGATGGCTTGACTTTTCAATCCTAGTAGGGTCTGTCTCAAATGCAAACAAAACTATGTAAATATTGGATATTGCTCATCTGAAGATTGGGCAAAGTGAGCCAGATTGTTCTATTTTCATAACTTCTTTTCTGTATTAATATATAGCCTGATGTACCTTTTATAACAGCCAACTTGCCTTGCTTTTGTACCAAGTCGTAAGAATCATGCAACTTGCCATCATTGGATCCAGTACAACTCAGATTTGTTATCTTTTTAATATCAAGAATCACATATTGCATGATGTACATTGTATAGTGTTTACAATGGGTCAGATGTTTGTTATTGCCAGATGAATGTTGCCTTTATTATGCACTGAATGCCCGCATCATTAGCGTAATGCTGACATATAGCAATGTGGGTTTTTATCTTTGTCTTCTGTCACACACAATAAAGCAAGGCATTTGAGTTAATATGATACACAAGGTATTTAATCAAATCAATAGAATTCTTAGTTGTTGCTGTCAATGTAAATCTCTGATTAAAAAAAGGTCACACAAAGTTTAATATTACACAATATAAATTTGAATTTTTCTCATGTACGTTTTATGTGATTGAGACAGCCAACACAGATTTGATCCAATCTATCAAAATGGGATCCTTTGCTGTTATGTTTTGGTAATAATATTCATAAAGGTGTGAAAATGATACCTCAAAGGGTTCTTTTTTTTTATATGTTTGACAGTATAACATTGTTTTACTACTAAAGATTGTTTGTTACTTCCTTGCCTCAATACTCAAGAAAGATTTTCTGGAGTCATGATTTTTCACAAAAGACAGTACAGTGTACTGAAACTTCCTTATTAGCTGTTTCTTAGCTGTATCGATCGATATGTTTCCCGTAAAAGTCAAGCTGCATGCTGGGTAATTCCATGAGAATGTGGATATGGCTGAAAAATGGAAAATTTAAGAAATCTTCAAATGACAAGTACCATAATCTCAAATGTGGTGTAAAATTAAAAGAGACAAACATGAACCTTTGTTTGAATGATTTTCCAGTAAAATAGAATATGGTTAAGTGTATTTGTTTCCACAAATTGGTATTCTGCCGAAAAATAACGATTTAAGGTCGTCCTTTTTGCACCGGGTTACATGGAAATGCAAGAATTGTTGTGACTTTATGTTTTTAAGGAAGAGAGCAAGGTTCATAATTATTCTGTGCCATAAGAGTTTTGTGGTTCGATTATTAGTTACTTGAATGTTTAAACTTAATTGTACCAAAGATGAGCAGACAAACTGTAACGTGAGTACCATAACGCGAGTTTCCAAAATATATCTCTCGGCCTCAGGAAATTTACTATTGCTTTTTTAATAATTATTACGGTAGAATATGACTTATATGTACCCTAATGATGTAAGCGCACTTTCCCTATCATTGCACATTGTGTATAAAACTTTAAAATGCTTGGTATTTAATTTATGTCCTGTACTTTCCCCATCATTGCACATCATGTGTGAAACTTTAAAATGCTTGGTATTTAATTTTTGTCCATGTTCTTTTTTTCGTAACTTGAGTTTATTATACCAATCCAAAACTTATTGCCAAACCAATAGAAGTTCAGTTTGCTGGCCTTTTTTGACGCAGTTAAGTCACTTAATTACAAGGGATCTTCTGTGAGAAAAATTCACTCTTAATGCTTCGACTCGATAGAAAAACCGAACACAGATAAGACCCGCTCCAAATGTAACATCACTTACCATGGAATTGCCCTGCTTGTTTCCAGCTTGTTTATTCTCTGTGAAAGAACTTTGAGGAGCTCATCTAAAAGAGAATCTATGATTTTACATCCATCAGCTATGGTCAAGGAGATTACGCATTTGTTTTAAAATTTAACGCCATTTTGTTACCTTTTGGAATCACATCCTCACGATATCTCCTGGCTGCCCAAAGTCAGTTTCGACAGGTTTTTTTATGTAGTTAAACCAAACTTCATAAATTAAAAAAGGGAAAAGTGAAATTTAGGGTCATTAGCTGTCATACTGTTTTTATTTGTTAAAGTTTCATAATTGTGGAAACTGTTCCCTTTTTCTGGAATGGACATATCACGTTTTGCAAATAAAATCTTCACATCATGATCAATTTGTTCTCTCAGTGAATGCTTAATTTTGATGTCAATAGTAGTCATTTGACAATGGAAAGCCAAGTACTTCTTTGCAAAAAAAGGAAACATTTATGAAATGTTATTAGCAAAAGAGGGGCGGGGGAATGCCCAATGTTGTAAGTACTGATAATAATACACTTTATAGGCCGGAAAAAATTATCATCGCGACTTTTACTCTATCAGGGCCGGAGGCATAATTTAGCTCTGTCAGAACAGTGTGACCGATCAACATGAAATTTGGTGACTTTCCAAGGTTTTATATGAGGTCCCAGGCACCAAAACGGAATCCGGTGAATGTCCATGGTAACCATGGCAACCAATTTAAAAACATTATTAATCATAACATTTGGCCATTTTACGGTATAAAAACCATGGAAATATGCATTTTTGTGGGTGAAAACCATGTTTTCTCAGCCCGAGCCTGTCAAGTATCAACTTCACACTAAATTTACGATCACGTGACCAACTATAAAAGTGCTGGGAATCCAATATGGCTGCCAAGTACACAAAAAGCCATTTGTAATTTTCACATTTTTTTCCAGAAATGTTTCCCTTTTGGGTACTTTTTGACAGTCTTTGCATGATTTATAACTGCCCATTTTGGTCGGAAAAATTCGCACCAAAAGAGGGTATATATAGCGCCCCTGTCACTGAATTTTGGGTGTCAACAAATATTTAATTGGATGAATGCTGACAGAGCCAAAGAATGTTTTTACCAAATTTGAAAACTTTTGAAATACAAACGTAGAAATTATGCTAACAATAATGTCTTGACTAATCTAGGCCGTAAATTAAATGTTTAAGCAAAGTGCCCTCTTGTGTCACCGCAGTGCAACTAAATCAAATCATATTATTGATTACCAACAAACCAACTTTCCTGCCATGATTGGCACACAGTGTTTCCCCTCCCCTTCCCTCCCGGCCTCCCCGCCCCTCCTTCCCGGTCCCGCAAGACCCAATTATAGTCTGGTCCTGAGAGGGTTTATTACATCAAGTTTTTTTGTATGTCATTGAAAAGAAGAAATGAGAATTCCATAATAGATGCAGGACTCGTTACAGTTTGATGCAATTATACAGAGAGAATTGGGAGAAGTTTAATGAAATCATCTCCAAGCTTGTTTTACGAGACCGTCTTTTTATTTCTAAATATTTTGACTTTTTTCAGTATTTATGAAAGTTTCCATTAAAACTATTGAATCTTGAAGAAATTTGCGACTGAAAGTTAGCTTTTATTAAAAGTAACTACGAACTTGTCCTCAGACTTTGCTAGTTTGTGTACAGACTAAAAAACCCTAAATATTAAGATTGGCCTGCTGCCTAAAATTGCTTCAAGTATACGGGGTTATTTTTATCTTTCTATCTTTGTCTGCATAACAATTATTTAAAAAAAAACAACCAAAAAGTAGAAACCAGGAAACATAATATTTTTCTTTAATTTCTATTATTTGACGGAAACCAAAGGATTGTAAAGCGATATAGAAATGTAGGATTTCTGACGTGGTCCGTCTAGCAAGGGAAAGCAATATTATGTATGGGGACAATAGTGAAGTTTCTTCAAATTACGACCAGGAACTTCGGCCTCTTGATCCTCCACTCCCTTCTTGATCTTGCCCCGCCCATTGCGCGCGGCAGCTTTGTGAACACCGCCCTCCATTGACGGAGGTAAATGCATGATATGCATTTATCACAGAGCTCTATGATTCATCAACACAGAAGTTGTGAACATTCTAATAGTTTTAACATTTATTGATTGTAGTAGGCTAGTAACTATAATACTACAGAATGAGTAGAAAAGCCCTCGTTCACGTGGATGTCGTGAGTGATGTGATATGCCCGTGGTGCTGGGTTGGCAAGAGACGCTTGGAAGAAGCAATGCGACAACAAAAAGGTTCGTGTGAGCTCTTCGTTATAAATTTTCGTTTTGGCACTAGCACAGTTTGCTCAGCACACTTACGCACTTTTTGCAAATCATGCAAGAAATAAACAAACAACCCAAAAGGATCATGTCACAGCGTCAACCATGGGAGTACTTGTGGTCGTAATTGTAGGAAAGAATTGGAATTTGTGTAGTTACCTTTTTTCTGTAAGTTTAAGATAGTGGATATTTGGGTAATCCTTACTTTTAGGACACCTCTATTTTTTCGAATTCTGTTCAAAACTGACGTTTGCAGATGACTGTCCAGTACCAAAGTGACTTTTGCAGGCTAAAGCAATCTTTTTTCTTCATATAAACCCATGTTTGTTGTAATTTTGATAGCCCGACTGCGTCTGGCCGTACAGTACTATCGCAAGCTCTGTAGTACGGCCAGACGCCCGATGCTTCCACAGAGACTGAATTTTGTCGGCCGCCGATGTAGCGATTTTGCTACATCTTTCGATCGCGATTATCTTTTCATCCAGGACACAAATTTCCAAAGTTAAGGTTCGTAGTCGTAGAACAACTCATACCTTTTCGAAAAAACGTTGTTTGGTCTCAATATTTTCATCCATCTGGCCACAAGACGAATTTCAGTCATCAGATTCCACAAATATCGTCCCCCATGCGATCCCCCATGCGATTTCAAAATGGCGGCCGCGCTGTAATGTATGCAATATGCAGGCGCGCACGCGCAAACTCATGAATATGCATAAACAGTCTGTGACGTATGACCTCGTGTTTTTGGAAGTACGGCCCCGCCGCACGCACGTCCAAAAAACACGAGGTCATACGTCACAGACTGTTTATGCATATTCATGATTTGCGCGGGCGCGCCTGCATATTGCATACATTACAGCGCGGCCGCCATTTTGAAATCGCATGGGGGATCGCATGGGGGACGATATTTGTGGAATCTGATGACTGAAATTCGTCTTGTGGCCAGATGGATGAAAATATTGAGACCAAACAACGTTTTTTCGAAAAGGTATGAGTTGCTCTACGACTACGAACCTTAACTTTGGAAATTTGTGTCCTGGATGAAAAGATAATCGCGATCGAAAGATGTAGCAAAATCGCTACATCGGCGGCCAACAAAATTCAGTCTCTGTGGAAGCATCGGGCGTCTGGCCGTACTACAGAGCTTGCGATAGTACTGTACGGCCAGACGCAGTCGGGCTATAATTTTGAAAGCACTTTCAAAGAAAATGTGACTTTTATTCAACTGTTTTGGTGAGTCTTTCCCTTCCTATATAGGAACGGGGTCCTAAAAGTAAGGATTACTGATATTTTGCCGGAGGTAATGACGGCAAATTAACGTTTACTAAAGGTTTGTCGGCGGCAATCCATATCAACAGAGGGCGCTGTACCCTTTAAGATAGGGCTGAATTATAAGATGTATTAAATTCCCACTAAATGTTGTGCAGCACGTTTGGTGTAGTGGTTAAGCAAAAGCTCTAGTGAGCGGGATGACTCGGGTTCGAATCCGATTTTAAAGTTTTTTTCCCCATCCCCAAATAAATAAGGATATTCTTCTTTTATTATTTTAATATGTCTCAAACATTTTATTGCAGAGTATTACATTTTCTTTTTCAGATTTGTGGCTCTGGAGGATTTTTTTTTAAAGCGAAATAAAGTCCGAAATTATAAAATGGTCTGAATCCCATCTTGTGAATACGAGGTTACAACGATAATATTGGCATGGAGCCAGACTAAAATTTGTCACCGGAAAATTTTTAAACTTGTACAAAAAAACGCATGTTCAGTGCATATCCGGCAAACTAACGTTTACTAAAGGTTTGCCGTCTCCGGCAAAATATCCAGTGCCTAAGTTTAAAGTGTTTTAATCATTCCAAAATAACTTTTGCAGCCTTAAGATAAATCTTCTCTGACTATCCCATAAATGTGGCCAATGTACTGGAATACCTCCGTAAATAAAGGCCACACTTCCACCATGACCATGTTCAAAAACATGTCAAACTTTGTTAAATTTTGATTTTCACATTTAGGCTTTAGTTTGTAATTTATATTTGCTTTAGAAGCATACTCACCCTCTTTATAGGCTAATCAGAAAGTGCTGCCTTTTTCAGATGTCTATTTTTCGTGAAACTTCAGATTCGATTGCACACGTTTGCGTATCATGAAATTTCATAAAAATTTGACATCTGAAAAATGTGATTGCGACTTTTTTTTATCTGAGTGATGTTCTTGTCCTAATCATTGCATTTCGCAGTCCAGCGAAGCCTGCACTGAATTAGTCCGAAAATTTGGGACTCTCAATACTGTGTATGAGAGTCCCAAAACTTAAGGTATCCATATCGTGCAAATGTTTGTGCTGCATAATAAAACCAGTGTGAATCAAATTTGCCAGCTTCTTACTCACTACAGTTTCTTCAATAATCCCCGAAACTTTTGCCTTGCAAAGTTGCTGTTGTGAGCATTGCATCACCAAAAATTCAGCTTTTAATTCTAATTTTGCAGGGAGTTATCGAAATCCATACGTGAGACATCACATTGATGTGTACTGCAATGCATTGTGCAAAAAGACTCCTCAGCTATAACATTTTCATCGTGTAGATAAACAGCGCCCTCTTGTTGATTAGTCTGGTTCCCAGACCAAAAGATTCTGACTATTCCTGATGAATCTTAGGTCCAGTAGCCTCCGGTAATACATTGTATTACAATTTAGGTCACGTGACTAAAACGGGAGGAATTCCTCCTTTTTCCAAAAATTTCTGAAGTTTGCGGAAGTCGTTTCGTCGACAATCGGATAGCGCACGAGTATTTCCGAGTATATAATATAGGTTTAATTAACTGCTAATTGATTATTAATTTTATTTTGAATGAGTTGATTATTAATATTCATTGCTTTCATTTAGAAAACTTCAAATTCAACGACGATTTTGTGCATCAAATACTCGGATCGTATGGCCGAACTTTTTGCTGCGTCATGTACAATTTTGAATTTGACGACCGTTACCGAGATTTTCCAAAACTCGGTCTTCATTTGGCTCCGCCTGCTAACAGTGCTATTCGGCTGCCTAATTTTGAAGATTCCAGATCAACATTAGGCAATGCTATCTTACAGAAACATCAAACTGCATTACTGTATGATATTACAAAACAAGTGATTTATTTTAAAATTTTGATCAGAACATTAAAAGCTACAGCGATAAAGCGAAATCGGAAACGAAGCCGAGCTTTGAAAAAGGGCCATCAATGTCGTCATGTTTTTTTTTAGCCACGGAGGCTGCCTGACCTAAGATTCATCAGGAATAGTCAGAATCTTTTGGTCTGGGAACCAGACTATCTTGTTGATCTGAGGGAATGCAAAATGTTTCATTTTTTAACAGAGGGCGCTATGTTCATTTGGCCATCGATTAAAAAACAAGTAAGCTGCAAGGCTCTACCTACACCTACCCAGAATACATTGGGAATCACACACCCATTTCCAGAGCATGGCCATGGAGGTTGACGTGGATGGTTTTTGAACTGCCAAAAACTTGCCTTAAAATTAGATTTAATTGGTCTCCAATTTCGCAGGTGACATGCTTGCAACTATATCATTTTGATGTATGTGTTTTGTGGGCATTAGTTAGCCTACTGGTGAGTAAAAAAATGTTGGTAGTAATTTTGCACGTTTTTATGCACTCACGGTCCCAGTCTGGCACTGCATTAGCTTGAGTAACTCCAGCTGACATGGCTGACATGCTCATATTCATTCACATAGAGCGCTGGAGACAGAACTACGGCGTGAGAGTGTGGTCATAAGAGACCCTTCCAGAATGGCCTCCCTAAAATTGTCCTTTTCACCTCAATTAATATTGTCCACCCCATATTCCATTTACTTACATGTACCTCATACCATTTAACAGTCATTTACGAAGCTACATGTACAATGTACTGATCAACTTGAAACAGACCAACAAAAAAAATGCGAAAAATCTTGACGATTTCAGTCGAAAACGTCCAGTTCCAACGGCTGTCATCCATTTTGTTTGGTTAATTATGCAAATGCCATGCATCACATGATGACATTGAAAAAAAATCTGCGCACGCGATGTATGTGGGCAGTGACTAGCTGACTAGTCGCAACTATTTATTGATAGTCGCCGCGACTTGCCCAGGCCTAGTGGGTACCACACTGCTTTCAGGCGCCGCTAGTTGGTTCAATTTTCGTCTGGTGCATTGTCACGGAAAGCAAGACAACGACTGCTTTCCACAACAAAATGTAAAGAATGTTGCAACCTGACGCCCCTTTTGTCATCATGTGGCGGGGGGATCCGTGTGTGTGTACACGTATCGTCAGACCTAAAGCTACGCACTCCTATTTCTACGCACTAGCCTTTAAGTTACATTTTGAAATGCGTGTGTCCTAAATATGATGTACTTTCACTGGGATCGTATCCTTTGATGTACACATTTTCACCAGCAGCCGAAAAAAATGTGGAAAGTGAAGGCTCACCGTTAAATCAGGCAAAATATGAAGACAAAAAAAATGGGAAAGATTCCCATATCCGGCCATCAGTCTGGGCAAATCTATTGTACAAGAAACAGCCGTCGCATTGCAACTTACGCGCCACGACAAGTTTTGGCAGTGCAAAAATGTAACTGTTTCTGTTTGAACACTGCAGATAAATATGAGTTTGTGGTGCGCTGGGAGCCGTTTCTGCTCAGGCCAGAGATGCCCGAGGAAGGCATGCCTAGGCCCCCAGGGTTTCCCAGTCCAAGGTGAGAGACATGGACTTGATTGAATATTTTCAAATATTAATTGCAATGATTAACTCTAACCCCTTTTTGAGCACTTTTACTAGAAAGTATTCTGAATCTACCAAAGTCCATCCAAAGTCCATTTTTCGGGTGTATGTAGCCTAAGGTGTGATGAAATAAAAACGACTATTGTTTCTGTCATGAAATGAGTACAAAAGGTACTTTTGAGAGCTGTTTTTCAGGTCCAGTTTCGACCCGAACGTGCAAAAGTCGTCGTTGCGGGCAGCAAACAAAACACAGTAAATCGTGATGTAATAAACAGGACTCCCGATGCACAGTAGCATACACGAGTCCTGTTTATTACGTCACGATTTACTGTGTTTTGTTTGCAGCCCGCAACGACGACTTTTACACAGTTGCACGTTCGGGTCGAAACTGGACCTGAAAAACAGCTCTCAAAAGTACCTTTTGTACTCATTTCATGACAGAAACAATAGTCGTTTTTATTTCATCACACATTAGGCTACATATACTCGAAAAATGACGGAAATGTCTTCGAGCATTCCACAACCTCTTTAACTGTCCTGAATCCATCAAAATCCCCAACATTTTCAATACGGAGGTATTCTAAATCCGCCGAAATATTCCAAAAACAGGGGTGTGGATTTTGATGGATTCAGGTACGTTAGGGTTAATTACAATTCCATTCACAATCCTAAATTGGCTGCCATTAGAAATTTGAAGTGAACCAGCCTTGCACCTGTTGAGACTTGACAAAGAGTTTTTTCAAAAAATTACAACAAACACTTATGTTTTGATACATTTTTGGAGGTATTATCCCAGGGTAGTTGTCAGGGCTTTTGCTGTGGGTGGGGAGAGGGTGTTTGCAAGCATATTTGAAAAAAAAAAAATCACTGTGTGAGCTTCAGACAAAATGCATTTATTGATATTTCATCCCTCCCAAATGTGCACAGTGCATTTCAGAACCTGAGAGAGGCAGGCCAGGCTGTGGGCATTGACTTCACACAGAAGAGCCAGAGGATTCCCTGGACGGTGCTGGCTCACACACTGCTGGAGTTTGCTAAGGAGACGGAGGGAGGCAGGATGCAGAACGATCTCCAGGAGGCTATCTTCAAGGTGAGGAGATAAATCTTGCCATTGTTACTTCCTTTCTCATCTTTATTTTAACACTTTATTGTAACCACTCCATTCTTTTTCCATCCCCTTTCACAATAGATCAGTCCATTCACCCTCCCACGCAAACATACATTATGTGTCAAGTTGTCCTTGCAGTGGTATGGGAGTTTGACTGGATGGGGATTGTTAGGGTTAATTAATGATCAGTCTTGCACAAGGCATCTCACCGAAATAAATGCAACCTGATCATAATTCCCGATAATGATACTGGCAAAGCACAATGTTCTTCTTATCGAATTCGCATTTGGGAGATGTTCTATTGTGTTTTCACCTTGGCCCATGTCACTGTATACTTAGTGTTGTCCAAGGACTTGTGAGGAAAAGTTCACTCAGTTGGGACTCAAACCCACTCCTGCTTACAAGTGCAGATGTCTTTACCTCTCGACCACTGAGCTTGCCGGAATTGGTTGGCCAGTTAGAGTCTGATGTAGCAGCGGGTACCGCAATCAAACTGTTTAAAAGGATGGAATTTGTGTCTGGGGGATGTAAATTTGATATTGGTTTTATGGCCTTCGCTGACATATTTTCATAAACAGTTTGTACTAAGAGATGTCGGAGGACTTTTCTGTACTAATATGGCGTGGGCGTCACCAGGATTTTTTTCTGAGGGGGTCAAGGTTCACACCAAAAAGCAGCGAAGGGAGCAATCACCAGCCGTGGAAATATCGAAAGGGGAAGGGTTGCTGGACATCAATCGACGCTTTGTTCAAGACCACGATACCTTTAGGCCTATCACAGTGGCCGCATTTTAGGCCCCTTTCAGCCAGGGACATTTGCCTACCCCGCCCCATTGACACCCCTGCGGACTCCAATGTTGTTAAATGTTCAATAAATTAAGAGCAATATGACTTCACACCTTGTCGTCTTCTTTTTGTCGTCTTCTTTTTTTGTCTCCTTTTAAAATTTTTGTAATACTTTTTTTTTTGGGGGGGGGGGGACGCGCCCCTTCCCCCCCCCCTTGCGCCGCCCATGTAATACACTATTATTCATAAACTCTACTTTGTACTGTTCTAAAATTTGTACACTCTGCTATTTTGTCTTACATATCCAGGGTTTCTTCACTGACGGTTTGCTACCTGACCAAGAGAATCTTCTCAAGTTTGCAGATGCCGTTGGACTGGATGCGGAGAAGGCTCGGACATTTATTCAGGACAAGACGCACCAGAAGAAAGCATACGACAGAGCGAGGCATTGGGCTAGGCAAGGAGTTACGGGTGAGAACTAGTTGTGGAATGGAACCCATCTTGCAGGGATATATTGATAATTCAAACATTTCTTGGCTATTTTTCTGATAAAAAGGCACACCGGCTCATTTGCATATATCCAAAATGAAACCTACCAGATTATTATCAAGAAGTTCGCTTGGATTAAAGTTTGTACTGTTAATAAACACTCTGTGAAATTATTCTGTCTGGTTTGCTGTCATTTTAAGAAACCAAGAAATGTAGGTGATTTCAAACAATAGTAATTTTACTGATTTTTTTTGGAAATACACAGAGTGCTTTGTGTACAAAAGTTGTGTTTGGTTTTTCACTGTTTTCTCCAAATGTGTAATATCCACTGAGCTGAAAGTTCAACAGGTTAGGTTTTGAACATTCTTTGTGGGATTTTGAGTGGTTTTATTTTTGAAAACAAACTGCTAGGTGTGATTTCAGTCAAAAAGCCATCGCCTTTTGCGGACGTTTAAGAAACAATTTGTGCAGTGTGTAATTTTATGTGACATTCACAAGGGTATAGTATATCAACTGAAACGACAGGAAGCACGTATACGTACTCCGTCGTATCCGATGTAAACAACCGGGCTGTTTTTGTTTTGAACGGTACTAGACATTAGACTTAGGTTGGTTTCCTTTCAACCAGATGTTGAAAATAGGATAAGTAAACAATCCAAAACATGACAATTTTGTGGATTTCAGGACGCAGTGCCCCTTTAACAGTGTGTCCACAAAAACATGCAGTTTATCCCACTCTCCTGTTTGCATTGCAGGTGTTCCTACATTTTACATGAACGGACAGCCAACATTTTCAGGTGCGCAGGACGTGAACGTCTTCGCCAAGATGTTCGAGCGAGCTGCAACCAAGTTTGCTAACCAGAAACTGGAGATACCAGCCAATATGTAATATGTAAAAACAAATCTGTTCATTACTGAGTTTGTTGATGTACAAATTTAGGGGGGGGGGGGCTAAAGGAGATATCAGGCCAGTGCTACGGGTGTAGCATATAAATGTTGTCTTAGGAGGCAACAAGGGCAGATCCAGGGGGGGGGGCCATGGGGGCCATGGCCCCCCCCCAAAACGAAACAATTATTTTTTTTTTTTTATGTGACATCGCAATAAAGGCAGGCAATGAGTACACCACCATCTTTTCCTCAAAAAACATTGGTTAAAGTGGTCAGAAATTGCCTCAGATCGCACCACAGAGCATCTAGAATCCCAAATTTTTAATTTTAAGTGGGCCCCGAACCCCACGCCGTAATTTTTTTGACCCACCTTTTGGGGGGACCAAAAATTTATTTGGCCCCCCCCCCAAAAAAAAATTGTGCTCTGGATCTGCCCTTGGGAGGCAATCCCATGGGGGGAAAAGGGACATGACCCTACCCCACCCTCAAAATGTTATGAATTGGGGAAGCAGCTGGCGCTGTCCAAGTCAAGATCCAGACTAGCACTGTCCGAATCTGGGTCAAGTAATATACTAATTTCAAATTCACTGAAGACTGTAGTGGTTAACATCCAGCAATGTTCAGATCTTTACAGTGCACAGGACTTGGAATGCACATGAATGGGCAAGGTGATCATCGAGTCTGGATCCTGAGCATTCCAACACTGTCGCACGTGAGATTCTTTTATGGAATTCGAAATTTTTGAGAGAGACAATTTAGAAATGCCAACAACACTACAAGATTTTTTTCAAGCAGTTTATGAGATACTTGGTTTGTAACAGAAAGCTATTCTAAATATTATTAATACTCATCTCAGTGATATACATGTATCATCATAATTGTTTTGCTATCTCTATTAAATATTCAATAATTCGATTTATCTAAAATCTGATTATATTTTATACTAATAAATGAATAGAATTAAAGGAGGCTTTTAATTTTATTTTTTTTAGAAATTTAAGGTAACTACTTTATTGTTTAAACTTTAAGAAAATTTTAAAATAAGTGTCTGAAATATTTATTATAAGGCAACCAAACAGATTTTTGTACATGTACAAACTAGTTTAACTATTAATAAATTACAGTTCTCTTAAACAGAAAATACCTTGATTTTTTTCAATAAACCCTCAAAAACTATAAGATCTGCAGTTCGACGAGTGTATTGAATGTAAAGATGCGTCACTGTATTATGTCCATGTATATCTACACAAACCAGGGGTTTGATGGATCCAGGCTTGTGTGAAACCTAAAATCATTCCAACTAATTCAACCATCTTCTGATTGGTGCATATCTAATGCCTTGTTCTCCACAGCACAAACCCAAGATGGGCTTTACGCCTTGTGGGAAATGTTCCTTCCCCACTTTAGTTATTTAAAAGGTAAAATGAGAAGAAGTGAAAAACGCTCAGTGAGATTCGAACTCTGATCCCTGATTAGAAGTCCGGACTACTTCCAACCAGTCCACGAATCAGTCGTTGATTTAAACACCATTATTCCTTGTCATATAGCATCTCAAAAGCCTCGGACATCATGAATATGCATAACGCAGAGTTCCCTCTTTTGATATTGACCTATCGCTGTTTGCGAGTTAGCCACGCCCCTTAGACAACCCTATCCGGCTCGTCAGTAAAAACGTCATACATGCGCACGCACCACTGATTACTTGCGCCCATTGGCTGCAAATTAAACCTCGAACTGCGTTAACTTCCGGTTCCAAACGGTGCAGACGGTGCTGGAGGTGACGTCACACTAACGAACCGGATGGAGTTTTTGTACACTAAGTTTTGTTTGTCTCAGATTTTGCGCATTCCGCGTCCATTTGTATATCATGTAATTGGACAATATTTCACAAGCAGCGCTGACGGGATTAATTCTACCGAGATAAATCAATTATTGTCCTATCTCGTTTGTGTAAAAATTCGCCGGTGCAGCTAGGGTTCTCACCATTTGGGGGTGGGGGGGGGGGGGGGCAGGGGCCAGATGTTACAGTAGGGGGCCCAATGTTAACCCGTTAACCATGTTAACAATGGTCACTTATAGGACTTACACATTTCCAGTGGGGGGGGGGGGGGGGGAGACGGGGGAATATTTTATGGGGATGTACCCTCCGCCAGGCCCCCACGCCCTAGGCTACGCCACACGGTCCTACATGTCAACTTTCGTGCATACCAAATTGAAAGAACGGTTTCTAATCCCCTCCCCTTTTGGAATAATGAATGAATCAAACTGAATCGAATAAGTTTTTTTTTTATAGCCCACTTATGTTGTTTTCAACACAACCTTTATAATCAACATGATGAGAAGTGCAAGGAAAATCGAAGGAAATATTGAACAAGTTAGCCGTAAATAAGTTAAGTATATAAAATGCTAGACTACGGAAAAACCGTGGTATTCAGACACTACTTCTTACTCCTCAAAAAAGGCACTAGGCTATATTTACAAGGTGAGCCAAGAAGAAAGTGACGGAGCTAGAAACAAATATAGGTTTTCACGGCCAATTTCCTGAAATGTTCATTCACTTCTGAAAAATGGTCTTTCATTTTCGTCTGAATTTGAATGCACGTCTTTAATCTCATTTCAATTCAACCGAAAGTACAATCATTTTCATTGTCTGTGCATTTACAGACGGCCAATTACGGTACCTGTTTACCTGTGCATTCAGAGCTTTTGCTTTCAAATACTGAGGAAAAAATCATGTAAACAGCACCTTGGGTTGCTGAGAAAATGCCAGGAATATGTAAACGAAGTGATTTTTCATCTCTTCTAAAAGAGTTCAAACAGTGAAACATTTTACTGCAACTTTGTAAGCCCACTGTGCATTGTCTTTCATTTGTGCAATTTTGACATTTGCCTATTTATGATGTTGAAAATGTTTAAAACAGGACCAAACAAAGATAAGATACATGTTCAGGTGTAAAATAAATGGTATTTCCATCAAATTCATGTGTACTCTTGTCAAATCATGTGCCCCGTTTTTTGCAAGGATTAGGACACAATGCGCTACATTCGTTTCATGCAAAAAAGTAGTGTAAACAATGCCATTGGAATCAACCAAAAAGAAGTCGTCTATATACATAATTGACATTTTCTCAGAAACCGAATGTGCTGTTTTCATGATTTGCTCAGTATTTGAAAGAAAAAAAGCTTTAATCTGACATCCAAAACTTAGCAATTCACAGATGCCGTTATTGAAAACAGGCAAATGTTTCAGGGTTGCATTGTTTTGGGGTCACCCTGTACACTAGCTCATAGAGCTATATACGAATGAGGATGAGCCTATACTTGGTCAAGTCCATCCTTGATTCAGTCATCAAGTGAAAAAGTCATCAACTGTTTTGCTATAGGACCATAGGGCTACCTGTCCTCTGATTGATTGTTCCAGTGACTGATGACTGAGCTGTACAGGGTGTCCTGAAAATAATGGTGCATGTAAACCCTGCCATTTTCGCCAATTTACAACCGGAATTTACTGCAAATGTTTACACGATCTTCAAGGTTACAGATTTTGCTTGAGAATGCTGTTTGTTTAATTAAGATTGCTTTTGTAAATCCAGAGATATGTTTGAATAACCACAAAGCCATAAAAAAACCATTCTGTGCCACTTTTAGGAAGCGAGTGTTTCAAAGATCAGACAATGCCAGTATGGCTCTTTTGATAAGATTATCCCTACAGGTGTAAGACAAACATTCCATTCACACGACAATATAGGGGTTTGTTCTTATGTTGAAACAATTTCATAGTACAGACAGGTTCACTTCTTTAAAACTTCAATGAAAGAGATTAATTAAATATAAATAAATATTGCACACCTCTGCTTAAAAATGTTAAAATCACTAACAGTAAAGTGATTTGGTTTTGGAGTAGGACTAAAGTGATTTTAACTGCTTCACAGAAAGTGGCACAAAATGGGTTTCTTGGCTTTGCCGTTATTCAAACGTATCTTTGGATTTACAAAAGCAATCTCAATGAAACAAACGGTATTTTCAAGCTTAATTTATTACCTTGAAGATAGTGTAAACATCCGTAACATCCGTGTAAACATTTGGTTGTAAATTAGCAAAAATGGAGGGGTTTACATGCGCCATTTTTTTCAGGATGCCCTGTATATAACATGAATTAGATTCAAAGCCAGTCTTGGACTAAGACTTCACATATGAAAGCTCCGGGTAGCAGAATTGTATATAGCCCTTGCTTCACACTGAGGAGGCAGGCTGGTAGCCATTGCCATCCATCCTCCGTTTGCCAGCGAGCCACAGACACGACGGTAGACGAGGCGGGGCAGCCGAGCGGGCAAGCAACTCACCCTCCGCTATGGTCTCCGGTAGAGGCTTCTTGGCAGTCTCTGGTAAGATGAGAACCAGGGCCGCAGCGAGCACGGACACGATGCCAAACACGTTCAGAGGGATGTACGGGCTCACGTCCGCCTAGAAGGTTATAAGGCATTGGGATCATTTGCATTTATTCCAAACGTAACGCAGTGAATTATCAAAAAGCGTATTTGGGTTAAAGATCGTACTGGTACTAAACACCCCGTGAAATCATTCCGTCTGGTTGGCTGTCATTTAGAAGAAATCAAGAAATATAGGTGATTTCCAACGATTAGTCATCGTTGAAAATATAGCTCTAGGAAAGCCTTGTTGCATTTTTGTCATTAATTTTGCAATACATTCACCCTACCCCTCTTCAAATTTCCATCAACAACTTGGGACAATTTCAGAAGTTTGGTAAAACATGAAAAGTACTTGATTAGAAAAAAAGAACAGCTTATCATCCACAATTTGGTTTTTATTTATAACTTTTTTGACGTGACACGGTTCTCAGCTGATGTAAAATGAAGCACTTTTATCTATGAGCAATATATTTTCTACGTATACTGCAACAAGTTTGACCTTAATCAGAAACAAAAGCGTGTCTTGAAAGATGATTGAATGTCCTGACTCCCTGAGGCTCTGATGAAGACAGCGATAAAAGTAGACTTCTATCAAGCGCGGAGGGATATAGGGCTATGGACAGTGAAGCGACACGGTCATTACATCTATACCAAAATAGAAAACCACTCGCACACAAAAACGAGTGCGTCGGGCTTTTTATACGTACCAGGTACACCACAAATGGAGCTAAAATGCCTCCAATCCTGGCCGAAAACGAGGAGAAACCAACTCCAAGATTTCTGGACAACAAATTCACATGGAAAAAAAACCCGGTCAATTGGCACAGTCTGTATTTGGCTTAACATGCTTTCAGGTTTACTTGAAAATCAGCCAAAAACTAATCCCCTAAAAATAATATGGAGAATTAAGCTACGCATAACATTCCATTAATTTATCTGCCACGTCCACAATTGGTTGGTGCATGCTCTGCGGGCCGGGGGGGGGGGGGGGGGGGCAAACGGAGGAATGGACAAGGGAGGCACATGCACCCACCCCCACCACCGAAAAAGGCCACTGATGCTCTGTTGAACAAAACTTTAACGGACTTTTCCTGCTATAAGCGAAATATCGACCAAAACTGTATATTCGCGCCGCCATTTTTATTAAAAAACTCGGCCCTTTTCTTGCATAGACTGGAAAGCTCATAATATTTGAACAAACTCGTATCCAATCTAATACTGAAAAAAATTATTCCAAATTGAAATCTAAGGGTTTTTGGGATGCAAACACATACATATACGCACCGTATCGATGTTGGGAAGATTTCCGACCCGTAGACAAAGTCCGTGCTGAAACTGATAGTGGCGCAGAACTTGCCGACTAGAGCAAAGGCTAGAATGGCGGGGGTAAAGTTCCCACTTCCCCCTAAAAATAATAGATAAATAAAATTCAAAGCCAGGTTTTCCTGTGTCATTGATGTAAATTACATTTTCAGGGATTCACATTTACACCTCGTGAAAACAAGACACGCATAGGCGTTAGAGGGGGGGGGGGTGATTAAACTAAACGGCCCAGTTTTTAATACAAAAACGTATAACAAAATTAATATTAAATCAATATAATTAGTTTGGAAGATGATACACATTAATGAAGACGTTAATATTTGACTCAACATGACTGTATACCTGGTGTATTAGGAATGCATGCACAGATGATACTGCTCACCCCCGCAATAAAATGGGCCAGGCTCAAAGATGGGCGACGACCCCACCTACATAGACCATAAAAACAATAGAACCAAACATTAATAATCTTTGATAAAATGATTTAGGCATGGACTTGCTTTGACATCGTTCAGTTTCGTCCCCTCGATATTGAACTCAAACTGTGTTGTATAATCCAAGCGCTATGAAGATTCCAAAGTGGACATCGCTTTGCTAATACAGAAATAGAACAAAAGCAAATTTTCTACTTTTCTGCTTTTCTGCTACCGGAAAGGAGTCACAATGGAGACACTCGCCAGGCTACAATTCCGTGTTTTGTTGCAGTTTGAACAGTATCTACACCCAAGCCACTGAGGAGTGTTCTACTTAATTGCAGGGTTTCACATGGTACTTTGAAAGAAACTAAGCGAGAAGATAATGATCGAAGTAGAGTCAGATTACTTCCAGTAAAAAGATAATTGCAATATAATTACGTCACCAAATTATGTGCTTGCCGGGCCTGGTTCAAAAGTCCCGGTATATATACATCTTGTCCAGAATCATTTGCTGTTCATCCATGCAAGGGCGGATCCAGGGGTGACCAACGGGGGCCACCCCCCCCCCCCAAAAAAAAAACCCTACAATTTATTTTAAGTGAGGTCACAATAAAGGCATATTTTCTTCAAAACATTGGGTTAAAGTGCATGGTCAGAAATTGCCTCAGATCGCACCACAGAGCATCTAGAATCCAACATTTTGTCGGGGTCCTTCAGTGGGCCCCGAACCACACATCGTAATTTTGTAGACCCACTTTTTGAGGGATCAAAACAATATTTCGCCCCCCCCCCCAAAAAAAAGCCCACTGTTTTCTGGATCCGCCCTTGCATGCATGTTCGTTGTCTATAAATAACACCACTCAAAATCAACAAAAGAATGTTCAATACTATTTGAAGTTTCAGCTCAGTGGATATTACATTTTTTGAGAAAAACGATGAAAAATTATTCACAACCTTTTGATCACGAAATACAATTCCGTCAATTGCACTCTTTATTCCAAATATCAGTCCATTGACTTATCGTAGAAAATACATTTCTCGATTTCTTCTAAATGACAGCAAGTCAGACGGAATCATTTATTTCGCGGGGTGTTGAGTACCAGTACGATCTTCAAACCAAGTAAGCTTTCTGATAATAATTCGGTTGGCTACTTTTGGGGTAAATGCAAATGATTCAATATGCCAGTAGCCCCCACCTCCCCTATTGTATCGGCGCCAAGTTTATGATTATTTTGACAGCAAAGCAGTCAGTTTGCTCTTTTAATTCGGAACGATTCGTTTTTCTCACGCACGTAAGTCTTTCCAACTTACGTCAACCTCTGAACCGTCAATTGGAATGATTTTTTTTAGGGTGCGGGTGAAAGGTGGCTATTTTTCAACAAATAAAGCTTCTAGGTCAGCGCCTGAAATGTCTACTTATTGCGGCCTCTTTCTATCAGAAAAAATATAACTATTAGACTCTGCACCTTGTCACTTTTCATGACGAGTATAATCATGGTGATGGACGTACAATATCATGATCAAGGTTATTACCTTTTTAAAGGAGAGCCGAAAAAAAGGTATTGCCCTTAAAAGTGAATGAACCTTTAGTACCAATAAACAGGTTATCAACTGTGTTTATCTTTCCTGCGGAACTTACTTTTCTGTCACTGTCTTGAAAGACGCCAGGCGCTACCCTGCCCGTTAATACCGTTAAATTAACTTAAATTAGGGCATGAAACTAATAATTGTCGGTTTCGTGGTTTTTTTTTTTTTGGGGGGGGGGGGGTGATCACGGTGGTTGGCAGTATAATAGATTTAGTTGATCCAATTATAGGCCTTATGCACTCTTAAACGTAGTACGATATGAATAGAAATGATGCAAACGAAATCAGTTACAACTGGCCAAGATTAGGCCTACTGCTTCGAAAATCTACGGTTGTCAGTCGGAAGATCAAACAAGCGGCGTGTGTTTCCATATAGCGACTAGTGTTCCAATCGTACCCAGTATTTGATGGTGGATAAGGGGAAAGTGGGGAGGAGGGGCATGGCAACCACGCAACCACCCCCCGGTCACCTTTTTGTAGTCATTGAGGAGTGAGGACAAGTGATTCCTTTTCCCTCTGTATACGGATTGGTGAATGAAGAAAAGAGAGATGACCCCCCTTCCCCCTTTACGATTAAGCAAATGACCGTTTGGTACGTTTTCATCTCCCCTTCCAAAACTGGATCTGTATACAGCCCTATACAGAAAAAAACACAGTAAGTATTTTGTCTCACTTTCACTTTTAAGAGTGAGTTTGAAGTCTTATTGCTTGAGTGTTACAGAATGTCAGATAAGGTCCCGCCATGGTCGGCACCAAGTCGTTAACCTCTTTGAATAAGTAGGCTACCGTTATTTGTTAGGTGCGCTCTAATCCCAATTTCCCCTCTTTCACACACCTGTCTCAACTTTATAAGACCGCTGTCAGTTCCGATTAAATAACCTTGGGAATTCTCTTTTCTTCGGAGATTGTTTTCCCTCCTTAAGGGGAGGATTGACATTGAATAATAAAAAAAAATCTTAATCCCTTAACCGAAATCCAAATCTTCAATGGTATTGTGGCAGCGACAACGCTACAAAGGCAGGTCTTAAGTACCTCTCACAGGCTGCTCGTGGGTAGACTATTTCTTGACAATGGGTCCTAAATGAAACTCCTTTTTGACGATATCAAAAGGTAAGACTAATGACTATGCCCCCCGTCAATCATTTGTGTGTGGGGAAACCTCTAAATCATTTAATTCTCTTTTTCTGCTTCGGTATCTCGTTACCACAGCAATATGATGTTAAGTATGACTTCAGGCATGGCCCAATAATTGGTGAATATACGTGAACCGTTATTTTCGGCGTCCTAGAAACACAATGTATCATATTCTTGAGTTGTGGTTCTACATGAGGAAAATTTGAATACCTGGACATCACTTGACACCCTGCAGTGCACGAACCCTATGAGACTGGTCTGGGAAATTCCAAGTGTTTCCCAGTAAATGCTTCAAAATGTTCCCTGTTATTGCTTTCTGATGGCCGATGGGTCACTGCAGGGAAAAATTGGTAATGTCCATGTTGCGAAGCGCAACCGTTCATTGTGCAAGCGTCTATTTTTTTGGAGACGACAAAGCTAAACGCACAACAGTATATACAACTTATTTTCAAAAACTACAAGTGAAAACTATACAGGTCCTCGCTAGAAATTGAAGACCGATGTTTTACGAGCAAAATAAGGACTGAATTTTCTTGTAGGTTTGGATGGTGGGATGATGAACAAAGTATGGAATATTTGCAGTAACACCATGTGAATATAGGTTTTCCCGGCCAATTTTCTGAAATGTTCATTCACATCTGAAAATCGGTCGTTCATTTTCGTCTGAATATGAATGCACGTATGTAATCCTACATCAATTCAACGAAATTTCAATTGTTTTCATTGTCCGTGCATTCGGTTGTGAGAAACAGACGGCCAATTACGTTAAAGCTATAGTCCATCATTTGCAGCCATCCGAAAAGTAAGTGGCGTAATTTTTGTTGAAAAACAAACTTGGTTGAAATATAGTAAGGGAACTAAACTCCCTGTGAAATTATTCCTTCTGGGAAGCTGTCATTTTGAAGTAATCAACGAAAGAAGGCATTTCCAACGGTGATTCTTAAGAAGCACCATAGGAAAAATTTAAATTAGTAGTTCGTTTTGTTATTCAGCGCAGCGCGCACAAGTATTGGAACGACGCACACGCGCGCGCGGTTGTTATAATTCGTCGGATCAGTGCGCTACGTCGCGTATAGCTGCAATTTAAAACAATTCAAAACATGATTCAGTAACTTTTGATTTGAAATTGAGATCTTAGAATGCTGTTTTTCTCGGAATGTACAGCTGCAGCTTAGCTGAAACTTCATCAGGTTAGATGTTCAGTATCCTTCATTAGATTTTGAACCCTTTTGTTGCTTCAAACGAACAAAATGCACAAATTACAAATGATGGACTATAGCTTTAATACCCGCGCATTCATGCATGCCTTTTTCGCGCAGAGTTCTGGAATACAATTTCGTGAATGTGCAATCAAAAGTACGTTTTTCTCATTCAAAATAGCAGATTACATCACAGAACATTAAACTAAAAGTGAAATAGAATGGTCAATGTTTGAAATCGCCCTCTAAAAGAGAAAACGAAGTCTTATAAATGCATATGAATGAATCTAAACGAAAGGTGCTGCTCAGTCATTTAATTGATTGAACTGAAATGGAATCGAATGATCTGGTAGCGAAATGAAACGCGTGTTCAGAGCGACTCTCAAATTCAGACGAAAACGAATGACCAATTTTAGAGGTGAATGAACATTTTAGAAAATTGGCCGGGAAAATAGGTTCCCGCAAACCTTCCATACTTTGAACGTTCTTAATTTGAAGACTAGTGTCAGGCTTCCACTATAAGTATAAAGTCGGCGCCCATTTAAGTTATTTTAGCATGTAGAGAGGTTAACGAACGTCTTGACTCTAACTGTCCCAATTCCTCCAAATCCTCTTTGCATAATGGGTGCTTTCGAAGAATTGAGGGCCTTAGAAAATCGAAGCACTGGAGGATTGAGGCTCTGGCTGTTACTTGCTTTATGCATGTGTACTTGGGCAGGCATCCAGCATATTTGTTTCTTGTACAGCCTCTTTACTATTTAGCCTCAGCATTGCCAATCCACAACACAGGATAACAATGGAGTATTTCAATAAGTAACACACTAATGAACTCACAAGAGCATTGAAAACCAATTATGTGATAACATGCCAGCAAACCCAGTGGAGAATTTCAAAGGATTTAGGCAGAGACCTCCAGCGCCAACAAGTGGATGTTTTTAAAGGATTCAGGTGCTTGAGTATTTTCAGAGTGCTTAGAGTGGATTCAGGCTGCTTCTGGGCACTTGAAGAGAGCGTAGGGAACACAACAGCCATACCGAGTTGAAGTAAGATTCACCACAAGTCCACAAGTCAATCACAAGTCAAAGCGCTAATCACAATCACAATATTTACAACGAATTTCAGTGGATACTAAAACCAAAGTCTGCAGCCGACTCGGACCCCGTTGTGCCCTTGTAAAAGTTGCTGTCAGAACAGTCTTTAAGTGCGACAATGCTCTACCGTGCTTTTAGGATAATTTTTTTTTCTTTTTGAGCTCAGCCTATTACTGTTGGCAATACCATCAGAAACGAGCCTTTTTGCCTTGTTAAAACTCTACTGTTGGCTTCTTCGTGTACGTATGGCACAATAATCAAAGGTAGTAAAATTTCAGTGAGGAATAAAGCTGATAGTTTTAGTCAATGGTTAAATAGTCAACTCCATAACAGGCGAAGCAACGACTGATAAACAATGAAAAAGGAATTCATGCTTTTGTTAATTATATTGATTAGCTTGTGACTTGATTGAGACCGAATGACTTATGATTGACTTATGGGATACGTATTTTTGTACACGTTTCTCGTGAGTTATAGTTGAACATAATTATCTCAAGTACGATAGGGTCATAGTAAGCGAATTTGGAAGATTAGTTTTGAGAGAACCTAACTTGCAGGCTTACCGCATATAGACCGTTTGCATTACAGCCATGTTTGAGGTGTGTGCTTTTGTTTCCCAGGGGTACGCACGAGTAGATCTCTTGTGCATTCATTGTTAACTGAATTAACAAAACAAAACACACCTCCAAGATGGCTGTTGAACGCAATCCATGTATTTTTGTCAACTTTCGATCCGAGCGATGAAATAAGTCGTGGCATTAATATTGTTTCTCCTCTAACTGTCGTTTGCCTGGGGGGAAAATGTATAACAGGTGTTAATTATGCTTGGTATCTTACCATTCGATCAAAGGGTAGACCACGAGATAACCCGGGACCTCCACCAGTCCAAGCAGGAAGAAGTTCAGGTACTTATCCCCGGCTAGGTTGGAGCTGTTGAGGGAGAGACCGTAGTACACCATGCTACTCACCAACCTAACCAACCGAAGAAAATAAAACATGAATTGGCCTCAAGATATACATACTTCATTAGGTCAGCTCTATAATAGACAAACAACAGAGTACGTTTACAACCTGTGATATACTTATATTTGGTCACGCACCCTGGGCCTTTTCAACGGTTGCCACAAATAATGTCCATACGTGAACGTACACAATGACGGCAGGGACCATCGATTCAAAAACGCCAGTGACGGTAAAAATTGACGTTTCTTCCTCGCCCAACTTACACTTTTAAAGTTCTGCCGGTCACCTATTTATCTTAAGGCAAGTTCGATCGAGGACTGCTTGTGGTATTAGTGATTCATGCGTGACGTAGCCTATGTTGCTCATGCAATTGTGAACGTCAATAGTCAAACGATGATTAAACGCCATCAGGAAAATTCTTTTAGGAAATCAAGTTCCTGAAGGTGTTTTCGTGCATGCTAATCTTACCAACTGTAGAACATGATGAACGCATTGCGGAACAGTCGCGTTGACTGGAGCAACTCGGCGAACCGAAACGTGTCTTTAGACGCTGGTGGGCGCCCTACGGCGTCCATTCTGACTTCTGTTCCATGCCCGTTGTCGTTTAATGCAGTGCCGTCGTTCCCAGTGTTGTCGTTGACATCTGACGGTGCATACTTCACCGTGGTCTGTCCAGCTACAGGCGAGACCACGTCGTCATCCTTCAGGAACTGGTCGGGCGCTTCGATGTTGTTCAGCCGCGCGATGCGGTGGAGGACTTTCTCGGCGGCTTGCATGCGCCCCTTGGACATCAACCAGCGGACGGATTCGAACGAAGCCCTATGCATGAGATTTGAATCAAAATGAGGAAAATGTGAATGGTGTTGATAGACCTCCATTATTACAAGCACCGAAATCCAATTCTGAACCTCTTACATGTACTACATCTGCGTACTCATTATTTATTTTACGTTATCTGTGGAGACGGTAACAAAGATGCATAGGCCTAGACTTGGTGCATAGGCCTAGACTTGGTGCAAAGTTGGTATTCAGCCGTACCGATTTAGTTTGACTGAAGTTCGGGGACAAAATACGAATATCTAACGACTTGTCATAAAGTCTAGCATAGGCCTAGAGTTTGCAGATGTCTTATTTTTCCAACATAACAGCGGTGCTTTGCTAACAAAATTTGATGCAAAGAGCCCCGTGGACTAGGATGCAACGTGTGTGGGTACTGGTTCGCACGCGCACCTTGCCTATTTCTGAAGGTGCACAAAGCATGGCACAAAGCAACAGCGTCTTCGCGTGAGCGTCAGGATGGCAGGCGTCGTCAGCAGTGCGTTTGAGTCTCTCCCTTTCTTACCGTACTTGTATACTTATAGGGAAAGCAACGACGATGGTACCATGCGACGAAGAAGTCTTGCCGGCACGTCCGGCGCGTAAAAGACGCGAATAGTGTGTCTGTAATAGGCCACCACACTTATCCGGGCAAAGTCAGAGTACGGCGCAAGCTTACCACATCATGAACGGGACGGCGACCAGGAATGGCACTGAGATAGCAATCTGCATGTGCCTCCAATCCCTCAGGTAGTAAGCGAAGGGCGTAACCAGGGCCACGCCCACGCCCCAAGCCACGCCCGTCAGACACCCAGCTAGGGTTCTCTTCTCCGGTGAGAACATCTCCATGATCAGTACGAAGCCGGTCACGTTGATGCCCTGAAAGAGAAAAACGAAACGAATTTTGACTCTAATTCCTGCTTCAAACTTCGAATCCTCCATTATTTCTTGAATTTGTTCGATCCTGGAAACTCTTTCAACACGCACGCCATTGATAACAAACTAAGACCAAAACCCTCTTTGTCCAACTGAGTTTGCCAGATGTATTGGTTGATAGAGAAGTGTGAAACGGGAGGCAGACATTATGTTGATCGTTGATCGATTAATGTGGAATATTATGTTTCATTATTTAATAACTCCTTTAAAAGATTTTGTGGTTTTTGTTATCATTAAAACAAAATTTACCATCATGTATTCAAAACATTTATATCTTGCTTTGGCATCGGCCAAACTTGGCTAAACTTGTCCTTTCCCCACTGCTATCTATATAGGAAGGCATTTTGACTTGGGATAGCTAACTTCAGATGAGAAAAACCTACGGAATTATTAATCATCTGTGGACAAGTTTTACTTTACCATTTTTTGCAACAACATCTCTAACATAACCCCGTGAACGCACACGTTTACGTAACATGTAGTGTGGACATTCCTTTGTGTTAAAATTAAAAAACAGATCACCATTGATCACCATTTCCTTTTTTGATCACCATTTCCTTGAGTGTTCCTCTTTATTTTGCGACTGATAACCCTTACCCCCAAATGCCTCTAAAACTCGGTTTTTTTCAGAGGGGGAAACCCTATATAGCTGTGTGGATCTAGACAAGTCCACACAACATCTTCACTACCCGCATTGTGTGGACATCGTGTTCAGAGGTCCACACATTTACTGCACTGCATGTACACTTGCCGTTCATCGGAGGGCTTAACTCCACTTATTCAGCAAACCAGGGGATCCGGACCTTTATTTTCAAATCAGTGGTACCGTTTTGACTGTTCAGATGCAATTACGGCATAGAGCCTTTACATATACTTGGTAAGAGACTGGGGATTGAGAGGAAACGTTTTATGACATGCGGATACTTCAAAATAAAAATTAGAATAATATTACTGGAGCATCGGAAACGACGTTGTGCCGTCCTTAATCTTTATGTAACGTATGGTAGTTTGAAAATACACGTTATGGCTTTTGCTCCATCTGTGCAGGAGCATCAAAAAACGTTAATACATTTTGGCAGCGCTACAATGAAATTTCTGACATCGAATCAATCTTCGAAACAAGAGGAAAATCGGATGGAGAAGGAAAAGGCGGGATTTGCATCTGACTTATTTCAGTAATTTTTTCTTTATTGGTTATAGTTATAATTACCGGCCGTAAAAATGCGTTCGCCATGCTTTTTTCAAAGTTCATCCTAAACAAAAATAGATTTCTTTTTGTTCAATTGCTATTTTTCTAGCAGTATAAGAGTTTTTGACTTGTGAATGGGATTTTGAAATAAAAACGATACTCCGAATTCCAAAGTTCCTCAATTTATTCTGAAATTGCCTTAGAATGCAGGAGAAAGCATCGTAGATTTCTAAATTCTGACCACTTTGACCAATTGTTTTTTGAAGGAAAAGTTCGTGGTGTACGCAGGGCTGTAAAAAAGAAATTCGGTCTCTGGTCAGACCAAAGTTCCGGAATTGACGCGGAAACGCGCCTTTTTTTTTTTTTTTTTTCTTTTTTTCTTCAAGCTTGGATTGTACAGACAAGGTGGGGTACTATTTTGCTTTTTTGGTGTCCTCATGGACATTGGTGTCCTCCATAATTTGCCTTGGTGCTCTCGATCATTTGCCTTGGTGCAATTTCCCATTCCTTGGTGCCCTTTGGTAAAAAAAAAATTAGGAGGTGCGGCAATAGAGGACGCTGTTGTAGCTACCGCGGAACATTTTGGAAAAAAAAGAAGATTGACGCGCATGATTAAAATCGACGCGCGCGCTGACCAGAGACCGACTTATTTTTTTTTGGCCTAACCGTTGTTTTTGAAGTGTGAGATCTTTGTTTTAGAAGGCCTACTAACTAAAAAGTAACTTTGTTTTGTGCTTGGGAATCATCCAGGGTGACTTTTTTTAAAGTCCAGGACACGGCCTACCTGCTCCAAAGCTCCCACGAAGAACCAGAGAGCGACGAACGCGGTGAAGCTCGGCGCGAAGGCCGTGCAAATCCCGAAGACGCCCTCAAGGAACGAGGCGCCGATCAGCACCGTCTTCCGGCCGAATACATCAGACAGGGCTCCGCTCAGTAAGGACCCGACGAGGACACCGCCGAAGAAGATGGACTGGGCCGTGTTGGCAAGCACGGCCCGGTCGCATACTAGATCGAACTGTGACGGGAAGAGAGGATTTCGTACATTTTTCGTCAATGATGAGAAGAAGGTACAGGGTGAGCAAAAAACCCGAAACCCAAATATTGGGACTGCTGTTTTATTGAAGTTCTCCATGTAGCACTGTCAAAATCTAGGATATAAAAGCCCAATTCATAAGCTTTCTTTTACAAGAATCATTCAAATTACTTACGTACTTTTCAAGTTACGAAATTTTACACACAACCACCGTTTTAAATAAAGTTATGTCCACGGATCACACAAAAGGTGTGCGTTCTTTCAGCAAATCGAAAACAATTACACATATTCTTATGTGATTTGTTTTCATTTTGCTGAAATAGAACACGTTTTGTGATCTGTTGACAGAACTTTAAAACGAAGGTTGTATTAAAAAGTCCGTAACTTGAAAAGTACATCGGTGATTCGAATGATTCTAGTACTAAAAGAAAGCTCATGACTTAAGCTTTTACATCCTAGATTTCGAAAGTGCTACATGCAGAACTTCAATCACTAAAACAATGGTCCCGACATTGTTTTTTTTTACTCGCCCTGTAAAATTATAATTGAAACTGACTGAATTTACAATAAACCCTTTGAACATGGCGCCCTCTCTGATGACACGATTTGTCATTTAAATTCGGTAACAGTACAATGAAGTACATAGTGTGTACTCGGACACAGAGGGAAAAACAATGAAGACCCTCAATGAAGACCCTCTATACAATGTATTTATTCATTCTTGAGGAAGCCATTTTCGAACGCGTTCCCTGTATCTGTTGTATTGTGAACTGTTAAATGGGATGTATTGATAAGACGCAAACATTTACCTTGACCGCAAATTCATATTTGTTTGCAGGGTTTTTTGTAATACGAGTATGCATTAGTTCAACTCCTATTGAAACCAAACTTTCACTGTTTTTATAGTCTTAGCAAAACACCCATTCAATTGTGTCAGATTATCAATCAGTACATCTTCGATATGGATTGTGGGGCGGGAACCAGTCTACCCTTGAGCGGGCCCCGAACCACACGCCGTAATTTTTGGGACCCACTTTTTTGGGGGCTAACAAAAATTTTGTTCTGGATCCGCCCTTAAGTGTTTATGGTTATAAAATTTCTAACAATTTTAGGTTGTGCCGATGACCTTAACTTCTCTACGAATTCTAGATTTGAGATTCCCCCCCACAAAAAACTTTGTTTTAATAAATAGATAAATAACTAGAAGAAATTAGTAAGATAGATCCACGATCTCTATTTATGAGGCCTGAAGAGATCAGTGACTGCATCCCATGTCAAAGTTACCAATGATTTACTGAGCCGCTATACTGGGGAAATTTAGTCAATTGGTGGCTAACAATTACGGTAGTAAAAGAAAATCCAAATTCTTATTTAAAAATATAATAATTCCCTGTGGTTTGCGCGGCAACACTCCGCCGGCAAGGTAAAATCCCAGAGATTTCAGAAATATCGACATGAAAAAGCCGTCTGTTGTGAATCAGTCGTGTTTCCCGACGTTTCCTGCGTGTTGTGAAAGAACGTCTTGACGGGCAACAGACGCTGACACCGTAAAACATGGCACCGTCCAAAGACAGTTTACGCGTTGACGAGTTGCGAAAAATCAGTCAAGAAAAGGCGAGTAAAAACACTTTTCCACTCCCTAGATTAAATTAGATTTTCAGTATGTTAATCAGTGATTTTTTCTTCGTGTGAGAGTGTTAAAATAAATTCTATTGCAATTTGTTCTAGGTCAAGGCCTGTTTCGTCGTAAATTGACCGGACTACCCATAGACCTACTGACTTATTTATACGTGTTCATGCATTTTGCGTGTTTGGCCACATTTGGTTTGAACCTACGAAATACGCCTGGGGATGTTTGTGCCAAATATTTTGTCACAATAAGCGTTCTTAAAAAATACTGTGGCATTTAGGCCCAGAGAACTGGTTCCCATGGGCACGGCTTCAATGTAACAATATTCCACAGTCACGGGTGGGCGAAGACTAGTGGGCCGGGAACAAGCGAAAAAGAAAGTCCTGAAAAGAGTGTGGTTTTCTGAAATTAGTTTGAATTAGATTTGCCTGTGCCTTCGTACACGGACAAAGTTGCCAGACAATATAAGCATGTTTGCAGCATTAACCTCTCCTTCAAAAATACGTTTCATTTCAAAAGAAAGAAAAAAGAAGAAAATAAATGATGCTCCATGCATAATATTGCCGAGCCGGCCGAGATATCTTTCCTGTATAAGGTCAACAACCGCGATCAAGTATTTGAATGTTTTTTTTGCGTTGTCGAAAGAAAAGCTGTTGTGTGTGGTGCTGCAAAAAAATTCAAACATGTATACGTAGGGGATCATTATGAGCGCAGAAATCCACATTGAAAATTCCTTTCATTGTCATAAGCCGAACACTGTGTGCAACTGTTAAAAAAAAATCTCAAGAGCGTATGCACCGTCGAGGCTTTGTCGAACGCCGTCAACGCTGAGACACATTTTCAAAGATGGGATCAAGGCAGTTGTTGTTATGTCAGTTTACACAGCGCCAAACATTAATCATTGATCACTTCAACTAAATCCTGAGTAGGAAAAAATGTTATTCAATCCTCCCAGTGGGAAGTTCAGTTTGCCATTGTCCAACAATTCTTTTGTCCAAAGACTGGTTTGTTTGGTTTTTTTTTAAACCGTTTCTCCTGCGAAAAAAAAAAACTATATATATTACTGCGCCCCATGGAGTAAAAATGGACGGCTTGGAAAAACACGTTGCCACTCACGCATTATACAAACGCAGCTTGAGTAACAACACTGCTCTGTGTGCAGAAAAGCCAAATTTTTTTCCAGAGTTGTAACGAGTCACTGTTTTGTTTGTGTCTCGAGTCTATTTATTTTAAAGAAGCGACTCGAGTCGAGTCGAGTCATTAGGTAAAGAAGGTCGAGTCGTGTCCAGTCGAATCGAATATTTAGCTGAGTCCAGTCTAGTCACGAATATTTGAACACTATTATGACAAATAAAGACAAGACAGAACGTCATTTGCATCACTAACCGTTATAAACAAGAATTGTTAACTCGATCTTATATAGGCTTTTGGCTCTGGGTCTAGAATTCTTTTCGCTGATCGCTGACAACATCAAAACCAATTGCATTATACAAAACTGTTCCTGATTACTTAAATGTGGGCATGTATATCTATTTAATTTCAAAGGAGGGTGTGAATTTAGCCGGCGTTCGAATCCAAGAGCTTTATGAAAAATCGCCCAAAGCAAACGAGGCAACAACGAATTGGGAAATGTGTTTTAAATCCGGTTCATGTATAGAAGTTTGTGCGCTCCAGAACCATGAGGTGGGTATCTGTGACACGTTGTATGTTTGTACACGACAAGTGGCCGCTGTACCGTACTGTATTTGCAAAGTAACGTGAACATCCATTTTGCAATTTTGTCGCAAAGTTTTGCTTTTATTTTTGGGACTCGAGTCTTATTAGACTTAGCTCGAGTCAAGTCAAGTCTTCTGATGAGGGACTGGAGTCGAGTCATTTGCTCGCAGCGTGACTCTGAGTCGAGTCAAATTCCATTAGGGACTCGAGTCGAGTCGAGTCACCAAAAGTTGTGACTCGAGACGGACTCGAGTCAAGTCATGGACTCGAGTCATTCAAAACTCCGGTTTTTCCCTCGACTCCCATTTAGGCCTATTCATTGTACTTTTTTCGCTAGGCTTAAATTGCGACATTTCATAACACACTTTTTGAAAGACTTTGCAAGTCAGTACACGCCTAACATATTATTATATACAACGAGCCAATATCTTTGATCTCCATTTAAAAAGCGGATTGAAGTCCCCAAATGCCATTACCACTCCCATATTATAACCATTGTTAAACAATGGATTATGAACAAATATACTTTTATTTAATAGCAATATTTCCATTTGTGACTGCATTTATATTTTGGTGAAAGTCACATTTATCTGCCGATTACCAAAAAACCACAAATCGTGCAACTTTCTGTTGTCATTCAACAATGTATATGACTTCGAACTATTGTAGTTTTATTCGAATATTCAGTTTGTTTGTTATGTTTCAGTATAGGCCTAATAACGATCGTTTTATACTCACATCAGAGACGGCAGTCTCTTCGCCGTATTCAAAGTGGTAGTCCCACTCAGTGCAGGCAGTCTGATCCCCAGTATTCGAGTCGTTAACAAAGCACTCTGCGACGTCACTCAACACGACCGAGGAGTTGTCTCCTCGGTACAGGCGCTCGGAGACGTTGGCAGAGTACCAACCGTCGGATGCATTATCATGGCCGGCAGATGGAGGGATCTTGCACTGGTATCCGACCGGCTTGTCGGTGATGAAGACCATGGCCATCATCTGCCAGGCTGGGAAGGCACACCCAGCCACACAAAAGAGAACAAACACTGCTGTCTGGTAGCGGCCAAAGTTGCCAAGATAGCGTAGGGCTTCGTCTAACTGCATGTTTGGAGTGAGGTTTGCGTGTCCTATACCGATCTACCAAATCTGTCAAAAGGGGGAAACTTTTTTGGTTGTACAATCAAAAATTGTCTTTTAAACAGTATAAGTAGTAGCTGCACGGTCGCAAGCTTCGTATGCAACAATACAACAACATGTAATGTAAACAATTAAGGCTTTTCTCTCAGATCATGTTGACACTATCTGGACATATTGCTGTTAATTTAATGCACTTTTAACGACGGGGGCGTCCTCAGGGGTGTCAATGGAGGTGGGGTGGACAAATGCTGCCCCGTTCACCCTAGAAAAATGTTAAATTGAGAAAATGCTAGAAAAAGTTCAAGGATATTTGGAAAAAATGTGCTTTGCCCACCTCTAGAATAAAAACCAGGAGACGTCCATCCCAACGCTAATAACGAATTGATTTATCAACTGTTGGCAAACTGCCGCTTCCCCTATCCCTTCACTTCTTTTTATGCAGATTTTGGGTTTTCAGTCCCTACTGCAGTTTCACAACTGTTTTCAAATGGAAACTGACTAGATGCATTATAATATTTTTTTTTTACAGTTTAACAAAGAAATTGACAAGAGTGGGGTTTAATCCAGCGATTTGAATGGTAATTCGGAGGCCGCAGGTTCATTCTCCGCTCCAGTCAATTTTTTTGAAAGTTCTGGTAATGAAACCAAGTACTCAAAAGTGCCCTGGGCACTGTAGCTAGAGAGGAGACAATGAGAAGAAATAACAGTTTTAGAAGTGGGAGGAAAAGCCCAGAAGAATATTCTGGGGAAAACCCACGGAATCAGGTAAGGACTGAAAACCCAAAATCTGCATGTGGTCCGGGCAGGAATCGAACCCGGGCCAGATATGGGCAAAAGACGAGGAAAAGTAACCACTGCGCCAAACTGACTCCTCTAACAGGTATACTGTCAGTGGCGTAGCCACCGGGGGGGGGGGGGCGCGTGGGGGGCGGCCGCCCCCCCATTAAACCTTGTCGCCCCCCCAGTCGCCCCGCCCCACTGAGATTTTGAGTTTCTAAAAAAATTATCATTGATCTACATGATGCCATGGGCCCTATTATGTACTACAATGTATCTTTTGCTTAGAAAATATTGGTTAAAGTGGTCAAAAATTGCCTCAGATAGCACCACAGAGCATTTAGAATCCAATTTTTTTCGGGGCTCTGCCTTAAGCGGGCCCCGAACCCCACGCCTATAGCTCAGAATTCTGGTAGCTGATTCAATGACTCCAACCTCGAATACAATGTTCACAAAATTTTCTTATGCCTTTAGCTGAGAAAAAAACCTCGAAAATTATGTTTAAATTATTATCTTTTGTGCTAAGATAATTATTGGTTAAAGTGGTAAGAAATTGCCTCAGATCACACCACAGAGCATCGAAAATCCATTTTTAGGGGGGGGCCCTTAAGCGGGCCCCGAACCCCACGCCAATAGCTCAGAATACCGATAGCTGATTCAATGTCTCCAACCTCGAAAACGATGTTCAAATAGTTATCTTTTGCCAAGAAAATATTAGTTAAAGCATGGAGGAAAGTCGTAAGAAATTGCTTCAAATCACACCACAGAACATCTAGAATCCAATTTTAACCCCACGCCGTCAGGGCTTCGCGCTTCGCGCTTCGCGCTTCGCGCTTCAGTTATGATCAAGGTATGTCCCCCCCACACTTTTGCGAAGCGATTGACGCCCCTGCTTGACGCCCCCCATGAAATGTTCCAGCCCCAAATTAGGACGGTTTGGACGGGCAAATTGCGTGGCCTCCGGTAACCCGCAACGTGGCGCGATATAGAGTGCAGTGCACGTATAACAGCGCGCCATATTTACACCTCATCGTTGACCAATCGTCACCTTAAAAAAATGGTCGAGGCCCCATCTCGAAATACAGACACTCGGAGATTCATGGAATTGCTTGAAATTGCGCACCCCACTGGCATAATGTAAAAGCGCACTTAACAAATCTTGCACGGAAGGGCTAATGGGTATTCACCTTTAAACAACTCAAATGTGCACGTGTTTACATTACAAACTTATGTCAACAAAAATGTGAACATGGAACGGTTTTTTGTAATTTGTTTTTCAATTTACAATTAGATACAGCGAACGCTACTTGATATGTGTCACAAAATAATCTACTTTGGTCTTGTCAAGTTCACGTACAATGGGACATCTTGAACTGGAAGGGCAAATGACAACTTCATTCAGAAAACGCGCGTTTAATGTACCGACCGTTTTAAAACTAGTTTAACAACCAGATTATTGCCGATTGGTTTACGTTATTCTTGGCAAATATACCTGGGATGTTTTTTAGGGTGTACTGCATGACGATTAGTTTCACAACGTGAAAAGGGTGGCTTGTTAATGAAATTCACGATGCCCGGAAAAGAAATTCGCGGTTACTCTGATGGCAAGTCAGGGCCACCGTTAAAACCAGAAATAGAATTTTTGTCGTTGCTCAGCGATAAAAAAAAATCCTGAGGGTATAACCACTGCAAAATTTGGCGGTTAATTTCATTTGTTAATTCCTAAGAAGGCATTCGGCAACAATAATTTTTTACAGCTTCTTGAGACAAATACGTCCATTTTTTCTTCCGGTTTCCTCTAAAACTTTAGTCACTCAATGATGTTTATGTATGTAATATCTCAGTTATTAACGTCCAAGGGCCCAAACAATGTAATTTCTTTTTTAATGCAATCCTTGAAAATGAACCTTTGTGTCCCATTTAATCCTCTTTTTAATTGTCGTTTTGGCGTTTTCAAGGGTACTTTGGTGCCATATTCATGAACAAAAGTATGATGTCACTTCAGGCAGAACCTCAATGTTGCAGTTATTTCAGCATCAAAATTTGCAAGAAATGTTGCTGTTTATCTGTCGTACATTTTCTCTCTTTTTTTGGTGATTCGCTGTTGTGTCAGTATACATGGCAGAAAACCAATGAGCGAACGTTTCTCACAAGTATTTTCAGTAAGCACATTTTTGGGTTCAGAAAACCCCTGAACTGCACAGTATCTTCCTGAAATGACATCAATGCAGCAACACCACCCTCAGATGCATGGAAAATTGTTAAATGTTAAAGATTTTTTTTCAGCAAAATTAACTAAAAAGAGATGTCATCATGTCAAATATTTTTCCTATATTGAAGAAGATTAGAAATTTGCACAAAATATGTTCCTCAGAAAAAAATCACTTCATGACCCCTTTAGAATTTTTAGAGACGATTAAAGTTTGGTCACACAGCAGGAGATCTACAGAAGTAGCAAGTATAGAAGAGGTTTATTTAGTGCAAAACTCGTAACAGCAGAACACACATGGTGTATAAGAGTGGGCACTAAGTGAAAATTGTCTGACGATGTTTGCATACATCATGAGCACAAAAGCCATGGAACGAATCCTTTCAGAAGACACAGCTGTAAGTTGCAGCATTAGATGTTGGCATAAGTGTAAGTTGTTCATTCATTGTTTACATATTAGCTGTACCATTATTGGTCTTTTACAACGGGTGTGTTAACAAAGCTGCATAAGTTGAAATATCGATCGAACGTTCCTTGTGATGTGCAACGAAGGCTTAAACCAGGTGGAACAGTAACAACATTAACTATACACAAAGGAACATGTACTGTAATTATATCCATTGCACAAATTGCAAAGTTCACAAAGAATTGTTTTAAATCGATTAAGCGCACACACGACATATAACTTATAAGTTGTTCATACAAGTTAAAATCAGTCTTACAGAAATTCTGCTGAAGGTTCTGAGAAAACGCGATTTACGTTTGCATGCTTGTAAATCGTTGATTAAAGTTTTTTTCGTTTAATACAAGATCCATATTTTGAAAATCTAGTTTTAGCAGACTGGGATGCGTCAATAAAATGAGACCATTAAAAAAAATCCCAATGGATTAAATGCAGATATATTTGTTATTTAAAAACAAAAATGCCTGTATAAATGCTCATAGTCCACTCTGTTGTCAATCGGCACTTTTGAAGGGTTTATCAACGGAATTTTACTAAACACCAATCTGCCGTACACAAACGGAAAACAGGTGAACTTGAGAACGAACAGATTCGAATAATCTTAAAATCTTAAAACAATCGATTCTTCTGTAATACTGAGAGAAAAAAAATTGGAGTTTGTCGCAAAATGTTCATTAGTATTTTTTCAGGTCCACAAAGCTTGAAACGATACTTTCGTTGAACAGTTTCCCGCATATTGTGCATCCCGTTAAATTTTGTTTTGCTTACGACAATGGAAATTAGAAACGAGAGTTTCAAGTTGAGCACCTAAAAACTACAACTTTCCAAGTATTTTTATTATCAAATCAACATTTTCGTTGATTTACATAACGTGACGGTTGATGTATTAGAAACATTTATTTAGACATTTGCAATACGCAGGAGAAATATGAAGTATTTCTAACCTGAATGGGAAAGTTGAACTGTCAATGCTACGAAGTTCAAGTCAATAAAGTTCCCAGCTTGTTGCAGTTGAGTTTCTTGTGCAGTGATCGGTTAGCGTGTCGCGGGGATGTGGTTACGCCGGCTGCAGACGGCTCACACCCGGCAGACGAGACTTTGCAGAAACACAACCGGCTCCGGAAAACCAATGCGAGAGACTGGCGCTCACCGTCCCTGGCGGAGCAAGTTTTGCCCGGGAGAATGAACAGATCACGGTACTCAACAAACTATTGTCCGGGCGGTTGAGTCCACGCACACGGGAGCCAGACTGATCGCGATATGTTATTGTTAATTCACAAGGGTGATGGCGTTTATTGTGTACCTGACGGTGTCAATGACACACGCGCACACCGAGTCTATTTTTCAACTCGGGAGGTGATTGGCTATTATTACAAGAACGGCCAGGGACACGTACAAAAGTAAGTGACGGTTACTTTGTATTACAAAATGGTCGAAGGTTATCAAATCTTTATTGGTATGCGCTTGTCTATAATAATTAGCTGCAGTGTGGCATGGTTGGACCAGCCCCTCTCATGTCGGAATATTGAACAGTCACTGGTATTGTGTGAACTGATTGTGTCTCCCGGAAATTTCACAAGCCCAAGTCTATTATCAAGCTCCACAATACATGAAAGACTAGAGAGTAATTCCACCGAATAGCAGGAGTCGATGCCATGCATGAGGAATATAATAGGCAGAATTAAATGAATAACAAATGAATGAAAACTAAATGAGTAAGTTTAGAAGTTTAAACGAAGGCCGACCCGCTCACTTCAAGTCTTTGAGCTGTCCTCAACAGATTCGACCTAACCGCATAGAAATTGTTACAAGACTTATTGAAGTGTGACATTGTTGCAACACAAAACCACTGCCACTGCGGATTGCTACAGTTACAACATAACATTGTTGTCAGAAGAACAAAGTGCAAGACTTTGTCAACATTCGTGCAACACTGACAACACAATCAACTCAAAGGTCGAAATATCATTCCACATTTGACATTATGAAAACGGCAACCTGAATATGTTTCATTAACCTTCCATTTTTTCCCACGTGTCAGTTATACAAACTCTTCCAAATCTTTCAACAAAACCTCCGCGGGGACTTTTCTTCAAAGGATGAGTTTTCTCACAAACCCAGACACGCGAATGCAATACGGGCTCTGCAGTCGATTAAGCACTTATAACAGGTTCAAAAGAGCGAGGGATTCGCCATTGATCGGTACAAATTTTACACGATTGTGGTGGAGTTTTCGCACTGTATCACGCTGTTCACAAATCAAATTAGTACTGAGCTGAGGACTGAATGGAGTAACGTGTTTTCTCTGTTATTGATATTTTGACCGGACAAAAAAAGCCGGCTGCAGGGAGTAAGCGGCGAATTCGGCCGGATCAAAGACCTGCGTTTGGAAGCTGCCCGGCAGGGGAAAGTCTACAAAGCCATCAACTGTTCTTGCTTTCTTTTTGAGTGCCAGGCAGGAAACGCCCTCGCGTTTTACAAGCATATTAGCTATAGCCTGGTTCACAGGCCAAAACATTCTGATTCTTCTGACGAATTTTGAAACGTCCATGATAGCAGTATAGAAGTGTTCTTTAAAAAATAAAACAATATTGTCCTATCCATAGAACGCGTATTTCATGCATGTGATTTGCATGGCGGGCGTGGATAGATTCAGTTCGAAGTTATTTGTTGTTAAATTCCGTAATCGTTTTATTGAGCAATCAGCATAACTTTGATATGGATTTTCCGCTGCTGTTTCCAAACGAAAGTCTTTGATCCAGCCGGGTTAAATCTACCGTTACTTCCCTACAGCGGCCTCTTTGTCCCACCAAAATATCAATAACAGCGCGAACATGTCGCCCTATTCAGCCCTCCGCTCATTACTAATCTGAACAGCGTGGGGCAGTGTGAAAACTCCACCACAATCGTGTAAATTCTGTTTGGATCAGTAACGATCTTGCCAAACTGTCTACTCGCACTGTTCACGCATATCTAGTTATCTATCCATGCGGGAAATGGTTCCTTTAACAAAAGTCCTGAGGAGACTTTGTACGCACCTTACCCTTTTTGGCAGGAATTCTCACAACCTGCTGTAATAATTAAGTACGTACGCAGGCATTCAAAGATGGAGGCAGCGCACAATTCCCTTTTTTTCTTGTCACTAGTATGATGCCTACTTCTTTCCGAAATTATGACTAATAATATTTTCTTTGGGAGATAATCTTTCCACAGGCGATAAGCTTTTTATGGGTATGACCCGATCCTGTTCGGTACCATGGCTTCACTTTAGACCTCCTGAAATTAAAATTACGATCTGTAAGTTTGTTTTCGATTCATTGTCAATGTTACAAAAGGCCCTTTAACTACGCAATGACAGTCTGCTTCAAGTTAACTACCTCACTCAGAATACAAAGATATAGACGAAGTCACAGTCGTCGCTAGACCAACTTGAAGGGGGGGGGGGGGTTGACAAGTTTGCCGACTGACCACGCTATCACTAGTACGCCCCCGCAAAGTCAAAAGGTTGGGGGTGAGGTGGGGTGGAGGGAGTGGGGAATGGGTGTGGGGCTGGACACCATCAAACCAATGGAGGCGCTGTTCAGCTAAGGCAGACTGGATTGCACACTATCGGGCAGTAGGTAGCGCTATTCGTAACGGAATATGCATGGTTTGCAGGCCCCCAAATTGCCTATACCCTGGCAAAATCATGATAGACATGCCCTCAAATTCTCTGCTATAATATTAGAGCATTCTGTGGGCTATGAACTTGAGCATTTGTTAAAAAAAGAAGGGCGGAAGCCGTGAACACGACTGCGAGCTTGTATTTCTGTGATTTTTGAATGAAACTTGGTCGTAAAGTTGCTCTATTTTGCATTTTGCAACGGAGCAGGGGCAATATTTTCAAAATAGCCAAGGGCTTCAGGACTACATTAAGGGGTGATCATCTTTGGATGGACATTTTTCCCTAAAGGTATCGGATTACCCCAACAAAATTCAGTGAAATTGAAAGATAATGAAATAAGCTTTAATTTGATTTTCGTCTCAAACATCATGGACAGTCTAGTTGTGAGAATTCTACTATTTAAGATATAATTTTGCTTCGGGGTGATGTAAATCAATTTTATAGGTTTTGCCCTTCACCGACGTATACTCAGTCTGTTACCTCCCGAGTGAAAGTTGGGAAAAATCACTCGGGTAAGACTCAAACTCACAACCTACTGCTTTCTAGTGCAGATGTCTTACCACTCGACCACCGAGCTTACGGGATCAGATGCCTGGTTGGAAGCTGATGTACATAGCAGCGGGTACCGCATTTAAACCGACGTATAAACACTGTACACTGTTTAAAATGTCCGTAAATTTACGGACTCCGTAAAGTGAAATATTCCGTATTTTCGCCGTAATTTTACGGACTTCCCATAAATGCAAATATTAATTATGCTAATTAGCGTGATTACAATCAACCACATCGGCCCAAACACCTACACATAATATAGTACATTCAAGTACATATTGTTATTTCACCCACAACCGTGTACACATGTCCAAACTCATGTTAAGGGTCTGTTTATTTTACGGAATGAAAAAACTTTTCCGGAAATTTTGCTGCCAGCAAAAAAATAGCGTTCCGTATTCACCGACGTATAAACACTGTGTACTTAATGTGTTACCTCCCGAGTGAAAATTTGAAAAAAAATGCACATCAGATTCGAACCAGCCAAGCTCGGTGGTCGAGTGGTAGGCGTCTGCACTAGAAAGCAGGAGGTCGTGGGTTCGAGTCCCACCCCAGTGATTTTTCCAACTTTAACTCGGGAGATACCGTATCACACTCCGTGAGTATTTTCCTGATTTTGGGAAGTGGGGATATTTATCACTGGAGCATGTGGCAACCATTATCATGCGGACAAGATACAGCCTTGTGCAGTTCAGCGATAAATAATGATTTTTTTTCATACAGAAGCACACGAAAGGACTGACCGGTGGAGTTTCATGGAGTTTTTCAGCACAGAAAGTTGCCGAACACAAACATGTTACTATATTAAGTGAAAACATGTTACCTGCCAAAAAAGTACATTGCTCGACTGGTTCTAGTTTGATATTTGCACAGCCAATAATTTGAAAACCAGTATAGTTTCGGGTATTCAGCCCCATTAGGCCTACATTGGACGCATCAGCAGCAGAGTTGTAATGATCGACTCGAGTCAATGACTCGACACGAGTGCGACTCGAGTCACAATTTGTGGTGACTCGACTCGACATCGATAATTAGGAAAAAAATAACAGAAATGCCGCGTGCAACCAACATGATATCAACTGGAGTAGCCAATAGCGCCACACAACTCTGCACGGAGTATCTAGCATTATCTAGCAAGAGGGCGATGGGGAGATTTTACGAGATTTCCGGGAACTGACATCGTGTAAGTCAAACGTACTTATAATGAGTTGTACTGTTTTGTTTTTTCCCTTGCGCGGGGGGAAGCCAGTCAACCAACGGCCTCGGAAGTCCCACTTTTCATCTCACTAATGGTACCCTATCTATCCAACGGCTGTGGTCACCTTCTCTTTATGTATATAATTTTGTGAAGGAAACTCAGATGGCGCAAGGTATCCGGAGTAGGCCCTAGCTCTCGGTCATCTCGCCACGTGTCACACGCAAGTGGAAGTGTTGACCCCATGCAGGCCACCGATGATCGAGTAAGCATCCGTCCTGCCATTTTTGGGAAAAATCATGTGGAAAAAATTGAAATACAGACACGGATTTGGGCCACTGACTGGAAACTTGGATCGTAATTGCCGTTTATGCTTGTCGCGTCAGTGGTATACTACCGGCGTCAGCGCGCTGCGGGGATGTGGTTACGCCGTCTTCAGACGGGTCCAGCCCGGCGGACAAGATCGTCACAGAGACACAACCGGCTCTGGAAAAATCAACAAGATCAAAATTACTAACAAGCCAAGGCCTCGCGAATGGAACTATCACAATGATACCTCGCCAGTTCACACAGTTTGTTTTTGGCGGGCTATTTTTCTGAAACAATAAATACAGAGCCGGACTGAGCGTGATATGTTATTGTTTGGGTCTGCGGTGCCACGACGATTATTATGAACCAGTCCTGGTACCTTTCGGCCAATTCAACTACCGACTCAGGCTTCTACGCAGGCCTATATGCGACGCTTTAAGCGCGCTGGTAATATATATTACAAGCTGATTTACCCGATCATAGATCGGGTAGGGCGTATAGTGTTGGGGATGAAAATGTGGGGAGTTAAATGTAAATGGGGGATATAGTTGGGAGACATGCAGTTATAGTAAAGCAATTTCTGTGGTGTGATC